CAGTATATGGTATCGTCTCTATAGAGTAAAAAATTCTCGTATGGGATATAAAACTAAATATAATCAATCATTAAACATGCTTAAAATTTGCACTATGATCAAGACTTTTGTTCTCAGCAAAAAATAAAAAGTAATTGTACGCTTTAAAAAATGAATTATAATGAAGAAAAGGGTAGTGTAACTAGATAAAATAAACGATTAGAATTGGGACAATAAACTTTTTAAAATATTCCAGTCCGAGTTTCCTCTGTCAATATTCTAAATTATACCTGTTATGATCTAACATTTCAGAACTCTAAGCTATTTTTAGCCTCAGTTAACTTCTGCTGGTATTGTTGTTATATAAAAAGTCAATGATCATATTTTTAAATATACTGTCTTCAATGGCATTTCATCATATTTCAGATTTTCTTTGCATACCTTCCAATTATTTATACTAAATACATGAGCTTAAACAAACATAATATAATAAACGATAAAGAAAAAAAATCAACTTTTAGGATGAAATCCTTAGAAAAAAATTGTATCAAAACTATTTCTATCCACTGAGTATTATCTCCTTAATTTCTAAAGAAAACCATTGCCATTTATCAGTCAGTACATGATGTAATCAGCACTAAACATATCACCTGTACAGATTTCTTGAGTAGTGGCTGTTCCATCAATGTTCCATCAAACATACAATGACATACATATCAATAATAAACTATTAAATCTGCAAAATCCTACTTTCAATGATTATTTCTACACATATAAATATAAACGATAAAATGTCTTTCTTTGTTTGTTGGTACAGGGTACTGGAATTAATGTTGCAGCTATTGCAGAAAAAATTTCATAACCCGCTTACGTGGGTTATGCAATTTTTCTGCAACAGCTGCAACATTAATTCCCATACTTACAACCAAAGAAAGCATTTTTGCAGCTAGGTTAAGGATGTCTATGAAATATACGCCATGATATATTCAGAGAAAATGAATAAAATTTTAATATTTTTAACAGCGTTAGCTTTGATGAATGTGAATTGTGGTGTTTGCACTTGTATATATTGGGTCTCTGACGAGTTTGGCCAAAGCGACATTGCTAACATCAGTTGTTTGTCACGTGACAGGTTTAAAATTAGAACATATGTGTACAACTATAAAGATCGTAAAAGTTCAACGATATACGGGTATCATTCCGCTATAAAATTTATTCTGTTTTGTTTGAGACAAATTCCTTACCATGAAAATTGCTGCGAGCAACTTCTAGCTCGGGAATGGTGTAAAATTTAGCTGTCTTTCTAAAAACTACAGACAAATATGTAATTAGCACTGGAATAATGTTACATTACGGAATAGATAAACAATGCACAACCAGCTCCCAGCACTTTTCAGAATAGTAGTAATAATAGCTACGCGTGTTTAAAATTTCACAATCTATAGTGAAGCTGATATCGTTGAACTTTTGATATTTTCGAGGGGCTGGACCCCTCATTCTAGCACGTTACTGTACAAATGTGCTCCCTACGGCTATATAAAAAGTCTACACATTATCAATTTAGTTTGACAATAAAATGTATGAAACATAATATGTCTTTATGTTGGTCCAATTTTAAGCTTGTTTCGTATTCATTTTTATTTTTACAAACTACGATGATAGCTTGATCCACACCTCAAGTACAGAGAAATTGCGTATCAAACTAAGAAATGACGTCATCTCAGTATGTACAGCAGGATCAAGCTGGCTTTCATTCTACATATGCTAGGTGCTTTTATGACAAGATAAGTTGCACATCAGTTTATCTTTATAATATATATGAGAAACGAAAGTATTTAGTGTGTTTTAAAAAGAACATAGTATTTTTTCATCGAGAGTCATTTGTATTGTTTTAACGTGACGTCATAATAGCTTTCCCGAACCTCTGCATAGGCTGACGTAAATATGGGAGTCCTTACCCTAGCTGCGTTATTGTTTAAATAAAACATATTAATGATTTTCTCCACATGTGTAAAATTATGTTAACAAAATAAAAATTTGGTTCTGGGGAATGTTTTGTTGTACAAGAAGTCAACGAATCATTATGTTAAGAACATATGGTAAGTCATATTTTGAGATGGCAGTATTAATACATGTCACGCAGATATTAATGGAGAAAGTTCGCACGTTTTTGTTCTCAATTAATAATTTCAATGGGTAGATCTGAACAGCATCTCTGGTCGTCCGTGCCAGTAAACATAAGATTTTCTGCAGCTAAATTTCAACGTAGGTCAGAGTGAAAAAGTGAACACGACTCGTAAATAGGCATACGCCATTTTAGTTTTGCTTTCTCCGATATCAGCACGGTGGTATATCCTTCGCATTCGTTACAACTTACTGCTTTCTTATCACGGGTACCGGCGTGCAATGGGCGACATGTGTTCGTGTTGGTTATCTTACCTTACCTTTGTTTACACTTGATTGCAGTTTACGTGTATTTGTGTTTGTTTGTATATTGCACTGACCTGTGCAACTGTTGTAAGTTTGTTTGGTATCTTTCTGTCTTGCCATGGAAAGAGCACGCAGTCACTTTCGTCGCTACCGAGTATTTTACAATAGCTATGTAGAATATGTCCGTATACACAGGTGACAACTGAAAACACTGAACAGTGACTAAGTGAATGGCTTATATAGGGGTTTTCAGATATAACGACTGAATAAAAGAATATGACGGACAAATTCCTTTTACGATTCGTGTTCACCTTAAATTTATACCGTCTTAGGTCGAAGGGTTTTGGTTGGAACTACTTAACCGAGAGTTTTTCTCGCTTTAATGTCGTATCTTGCAGGTAGTGATTTTTCACTGGTAAGCTCAACAAAATTCCTTTCTATGCCATACCTGGTCAGGTGATTTTGTTTGTCATTAAACTGCAATTTTATTCTATTTATTTATTTATTTTACTTTATTTATTTATTTTTCGACGATAAGTTGATCGAATGAATGGATTGTGAGAAATCTGTATATGAAAAAAAGAATTGCATATGTTTTAGAAAATGACCTAGCTCCTCTACTTTCACAGGGACCCACACAAATTATGACAAATGAAATACATTGTTTAGTGCAAAAAACAGAATAAGAGTTCTACATTTAAGGGGGCTCTCTACATCGTACAATATGGCTTACTTCCGTTTGAAACATCATTTTTGTTCAAAATGATTAGATTCTGTCCTAAACAAATTCACCAAACACCTATAATTCATGGGTAATACCATAACACGTATTCTCTATGTACACTCTGTTGTAAAAGGAATGCATCCTCTCGAGGCGACGAGGGTGGTCAAGTTACTTTTATTTTAAACATGATTTTTTTTTTCTCAATAAATTCAAATTCGACTGATTTTATTCACAATTGATATATGTATAAACTTATAAAGATAAAATATTATTATCATTGAATAAGTAAACAGAAAAGTGATGATAAAACAAAGCCTTGTGACGATATTTGATAATTGTTTAACCAACCAAAATATCTCCATAAAGTCCTAAATTAATTCTCCATCAAGAAGCGTATGCTTTCCAGCGAAATATATCCAAAAATGCAAAATTAGACACAAAAGGTATATCCACCGCCATCCTATCACTTAGAAGATACACACTGTTAACAACAGAGTATACACCCAATATGTGTGATTATATCCGGTAAAATTTGAACTCTTCATAAAATCACCAAACCAAAACGCTCAGATAGAAAGTGGAGTTGTATTAACTCAAACTTTGATCAACATTGATAACCAGCTGTTTTTTTTTTTTTTTTTTTTTTTTTTTTTTTTTTTTTTTTTTTTTTTTTATGGAAAATGTAAATATTTGAAAAAAATTAGGGATTTCGTTATTCGAACTCCTTTTACCCGCTTTTGATCATTTATTTGTCATGTCATCTGTAGCACAGGATAATACATACATGATAGATGATAACAGTTAGTAAATCTTTCTTTATCAATACTTTGAATTCAAATAATCATCTGTAATTAAACATAATTAGACTAGAAACGTGTGTTTTTGCATAAATTCATTTTGGAAAAAAAACAATTAGAACTTCTTTCGATGTACTTGTCTGGATTGTCATATCTAAATTCCTTTGTTAATACTTGTGCATGTTTATAAGATATTAGATATATAAAAAAAATATTACCAAGATATTTGAGTCCTATCTCTATATGGATCTTTCCAGTTTAATTTAGTGATATTTAAAATTTTTGTTAGTTTTTAATTTTATTTCTTTTCTGCATTATTTTACCCTTTGATATTAATTTTATTTTCAGATTTTGGAAAGAGTCCATTCACCTCTTTTCATGGAAATGCTGTTTTCTTTTGTCATTTTTTAGATTAAAAAAAAATTGCATAAATTTCGTTTATGACTTTCTTGGTTTTCATTTTAAGTGTTTGAAACATTGAACTTTCATAAGAATCTAAAAGCAGAAGTCTTGTAAGATATAAAATAAGGGATTTTTTCAAAATGAATTGAATATACCAAACTTAAACAAAATAAAGTTAAATACTTTGAAGCTTTATCTTATCAGATATTGAGTCTTTTATTATAAATAAATAAACTCAACAAAATCACTTAGACTTCAAAGGTGTAAAGATCCTCCCTAAATTATCTACAAAAAGCTTTCAGCATCAAGCAAGCACTTTTCAATTGCAAAATCATATCATCTTTATTCACTTTCAATTAGTTCGAGAAGTTGTAATCTATCGGCTACATGTCATATAATTTGAAATTCAGAGAATTGCATTGGATATTTTAATAAGTAAATATAGTTCTATTTTTTTAATTTCTTCTTCTCAATGTGATACATTTTAGATATAAGTATACCTGTAGGTAATATCGACATGATGTGAAAAAATGCGTATTTTCAACATCAGTATAATTTTTTCAAATCAAATGAAAGAAATTTATAGAATGTCAATTTTTTTATTTATGCTTTCCTGTCTCTTAAAAGTGTACAGCAATCCGCGATAAAAATTAGTCCAACTACAATACAAATAACAGAGACTCCCGAGCTTCCTATGGCCATAGAACTCTGACGAGGATCATACGCACAAGTTAAACTTCTTCTAAATGCGCTGGTGTTAACTTTGTGTACTTTGAGGCCCGCTATGATCGTATCGAATTCATCGATACTCTTCGTATTTGGTGTTTCAGCCGATAAAGTTGATTGGGCAGTTGAAGACATGGCACTTGTGCACTCTGTAGCTGTAAATGCTAGGAAGAGAAATTGTGCGATTTTAATTTATATAATTGATATATATTTGAAATAATTTGATAATAGTGTTAAATCGTATGCTCTATTTAAACAAAAAAATTCACTCTCGCTTTTTTCATTAAAAGTAATCAAATAATATGTTTTCTCTTTAAATGAATATATTGTACCCTCGAGTGCCCAGTAGTCGTGCTCTTAAGAGAGTATCAGTGCTAAGTACAATTTAAATGAAAACTATGGTTATTTCATCTGATATTCTAACTTACCGTTTAATTGTCTAATTTTCTTGTTATTAAAAATATTTCTAAATGCTTTATTAAATTTAGTATCGATGCACAAAACAAGAGAGGTTTACGTCGGCCATATTTGTTTTGGACCAGTAGTCGTGCACTCGGATGTAGCAGCAAATATGAGGACAAGGAAAATGAAAACAAAATAAAAACAAATTTCAGGTGACTAAGACTTTATTCTTCAAGGATCAATTCAATCATTTTTAGAATTTATTTGATTTAAGGTCAAGATCTAGTAAATGAATTTAGACTGTCTATTTGGTGTTAGATCCATTATGACGTCATAATCAATTTAAACTTTCTTTTTCCCGCACTTTACGGCTCTAATAGAATTATGTAGAAAATAAAGTTATTTCATGGAACTCAATTTGAAACCATGTGAAAATTAATCCCAAAACCTATATTTATTTTGATATTAATTTAAAGAAGAGGACAAGAACAAACAAATTACCGTTTTCTGAGAGATTGTAGGCAATCTGGATACATTTCCTTTGTCCGATAAGAAAAAAAACTCCCATATTCATGACTGATTTTATAAATTTTTCATCAAAAAAGACAGTTTAAAATATGGTTTTTCATCTTGTTTACCTACAAAATTTGCCCGGATACACCTTATCTGACCAAGCTATACTTGAAAAGCATCTTTAAAGGAATTTATTTCTCAAATTTGAGAAATCTGTAGGCTCCTTTCATTTACTAGATCTTGGCCTTAATTAGGTTTACGGTTTTTTTTTTTTTTTTTTTTTTTTTTTTTTTTTTTTTTCCCCTAGAATAGGTCATAAGATTTTTATCACTCTTTCTATACATGTATTCCTACGTAATAATTACATATTTCAGTATAAGGACTATACAATTTTGATCAAGTCATCTTTTTAAATTCTTGACCAAAATAAAAAATTGAAATACCCAGTGATCATCACGTATTATTATGCTAAGTAGCCATGTGTTCGTCGTGTCCATAGGTGGCACTTCCATGCAGGTAGAATATATATTTAGAAAACTGTAAAAAGGATATTAGCAAAATGGCAGCTTTTATTGATGGTTATTTTTATTTGATTAATTTATAAATGATTCCTCCGCATATTTGGCATTTTGTTTAAGAGTAGGCACTTCCTTCTCTGATCTTTGAAAATCAGTCGTTTATGACGTAATATCATACCACGTGCGGACGTACGACAACAAGCAAAATTGTGCACGATTACTGTGCACGCACGACTATAGGACCCTCGAATATTTATAAACATATTTTAAATTAAAAAAAAAAAAATTAATGGCCTTCAAAGATTGTGTATTTTTCTTAGTTCTCAAGGCGTGTTTAACAGATCGACAGCTGAAGATGTTCACTCTTCCTAGGCACCTTGCTCTGGGGCCATAAAACTTAGATGAACTCACATTGGATCTCAGTCTCACTTTTCTACCACTAATTCCTTTGATAAAAGTGAGACTGAGACTAAAAGTGAGCTCGTCTAAGTTTTATGGCCTCGGAGCCTGATCCAAACTATGAAGTGTCTAGAAGTCATTATATTTTTATCATTTATATTATTTTATTTTTGATTTGGCATGGTATAAAGAATTTCTGAAATTAAACACTTTTTTCCAACTGTTTTACTCAAAAGAATACATGTAGCTGAACAATGAAAAAGATAGAACACATATAGTAGCTTCATTGCGTAGTACAAATCAAGTTTGAAGCATGGTATTGGGGATTAAGAATATTCACATAAATAACTGGCGGCCACCAGAAACTCATCTGGTGGCCTCCAGATTACTATTAAGATACATAAATATTCAAATGAGGAGTGTCTGAGCAATAATGTGTGACAAGGTTATATAAATTGCGAGAAGCAGCTTTTATCTGTAGTTGAAATAGTGGAAATCATTTAGAACATGTCAGGTGGGATTTACGTTGTGAAATTCAACGTTACAAAAATGACGTAATTTAGAAATTTTGCTAATTTTCATTAATGTTTGAGATTTACTCCAGTGTTAAATATTTTAGTTGATAATTATACATAATGAATCTTATGGATACATGCATCAAATTGATAAAACACTTGTCTGTATTTTTTGTGTGTTTGTGAAATTGAAGATTCAGAGTGTAACATATATTATAAAACACTTGTCTTTCGGGAGAGACCTTAAAAAACCAAGGTCGTATCAGGCAGGCTTTGGCACGATAAAGACTCCTCAATGCTCAATGGCCCTAAGTATCGAGTATAGGTCTATAATTTTACGTCTTTCACTCTGTTATGTTGACGTCCCTATATGAGTGAAAAATTCTCGAATGGGACCTAAAACAGTACATAATCAAGCAGTCTTAAGTTTGTTTATAAAACTTTTTTTTCTTAATTGACCATGTTTCCTGACGGACTTGAAGAAAAAAGACAGTTTTATCGTTTCTACTTGTGTGTAAATGAATAAAAAAGAATTACACAAAACTTAAATGAATAGAAATTATTTATGATTTTTTTTTTTTTTTTTTTTTTGGGGGGGGTGGTGGTATTTTTGAACTTTTCAAGTTCATTAAAAAGCAGATATTACACACCAGAACAAGCCAAAGTGATATTGGACCATGAAGTTCCGTTGCACAAAATCTCGACTGCTCCTCCATTGCTTTGGTATCCTGGTACACATGCATACAATGTCTTACTTCCGGCTACCAGCCCGTCATGCAATTTGATCGTATTTGGAATATCCTGGGGCAATGGGCACTCTAAAATGAAGTTAATGAAGAACCAGTTATTGCATTTTAATTAAAGATATTCATATGTTTTCATTTAAGCAATTAACCTGTAAATCCTGCTTTGATAACTTTGACTGATATCTGAACGTTGTTGATCTGCATGTTCTCTGTGCCATCTCCCCACAAGCCACCAATGTAGATCAGATTACCCCACGACACACTAGTGCTAGGAGTCCACAACACAGTTTCTGTTTGTGAGTAACCAAAGAGCACGCCCCCGAACGGTTCTCCAGAGTTACCGAGGTTAGCAGATCCGGCTCCGTAGAATACTTTCCCTCTGCTGACTGTGGCGTCCCTGATCTGGAACGGTTTGTGTATTCAATTGTGTATTCAATTGTTAAACTGACTGATTTATGCAATATATCATCCATCAGAGATACAGTACCCTATTTGCGTGCATCAAAAGCCCAAAGGAAAACAAAATAATATTTTACCTCAACATTGACTATGTGAAAGTCTAGGTTAATTGCGTTCGTCATGGGTATTACTCCTCCTCGAGAGATGTTGCCACCTTTAGCATACGCAAAAGTATTCATATTTGTTATCTCTGATGACGAAATAATCCAAGCTCGGATGATGACTTCAACATTGTCGGGAACGATATAATCGAAGGCCCCCCATCCGTCTCTGTAACAGGTGACGTAGTCATCTGCCAAATTAAGCATCGAGAGAAAAAAACTGTAAGTAGCTAATATTTTCTTAAGATGAATGGTAACGTAAAGATGCGATGTTAGTTTATCACCTGTATCTTGCAGTTGAAAATATATGTAAATATGGTCACAAGAATTTAAAAAAATCATAGATTTGTACACACCAAGGATTAAGGTCTGATCCAGAAACGTTTACCTTGTGTGGATTATATTCAGTTACAAAACTGAATTCACGCCTTAGAAAAAAAGAGGGAAAAAACTACTTAAGAGATAGGAGATAAGGAAGGCAGGTTCAGTTCACAAGACTGATATTTACAGATTCAAAACTACCTTCAAGGTCGGGTTCAGGGACTCCTATTGATTGATCTGCCTATGAACATATTCCTAAATCATTATTTGTATCTCAACAATAAATACAATTTCCTTTTATACGCTGATGTGCACTATAATGATTCCGACACTTGAATTTGTGAAATAATTAATTTTAAAAATTCCAAATAGGGCCTTAGATTTATTAAAAGACAAACTTTTTTTTTTTTTGGAATATATGTGCATTTCTTTTCATTGCATCATATATATGTATATATAATCGGATCAATGTTTCCAAACCCGATTTTACCTAACTTTCATTTTTTTTTTCAAACCCTATGCAATTGTTTTTTTTTTTTTTTGTTTGTTTTTTTTTTGTTTTGTTTTTTTTTTTTTTTTTTTGGTCGGGGGTGTTTTTTTTTTCTTTGTTTTCTTTTATTGTTTCTGTTTTTTCTAACATTTTTCAAAGATCTGACAAGGATTTTTTTCCCTATTTCCGTTTCATTATTACTGAAACCAATAGTTCTGCTAGTACATTAACAGTAGTATAGAACTGATGACAATGGACCATGCATCAATCTGGAAGTATACTGCATTATATTATTTGTATACGAAATGTAGAAAGGTAGTTCGTGAATATGAAATTTATTGCTAAAATACATGTACCATCTTTTTTTTAAGTAGCTTATAAATAGTTTATAATAATAAAAAAAATACTTAAATCGACAGAATTTTAGCATTGAGAATTTTGGAGTTTTATTGAACGATGAGTTTGCATTACGTATAAATGTATGCCCGGAAACATTCCAAAGTCGAGGTTCAATATCGAATGCGCCGTAGTGAACACAAGGTATTGTCTGGTAAGATGCAATATTTATTAGGATAGTAACAGCTACATGTAGGTATGATGTGTCTATTCTAAATAATGAGATTTTTTTTACAATTTAGTGCCTATAAGTTCAGTAAAAAACCTCAATAAGAAAATCATAACCCTTGGTTGGGTCACTGAAATAATTTAATTTTGAACACTTCCAGGACAAACACTGATTAATGCACACTTTAAGTATGATATATAATTAACTGTAATTTGAATAATTAATATCAAACAGTGGACAGTGTTTTAGCTACATAGTAAAGAAGTTAATAAACTTATGTCGACAAATAATGGCACTCGTTGGCTGTACATATGTACTAGCTAGTTCGTGCATTTGTACAGCCAAATTGTGCCAACTTTCACCAAAATACATTGTAATTTCATCAAGCCTATATTTCCTCTTCATCTATTAGAATTGAGGAATTTCAACTATGAATTGATAACGTTTATTGTATGGTGCTATATATATATATATATATATATATATATATATATATATATATATATATATATATATATATATATATATATATATATATATATATATGTTGAATTTTTGCGTTTCATTGGGAAATGATATGAAGTTTGTATGTGATCTACTTTAACAGCTTTGGGGCGTTTTAGGACGGTTTAGGATTTGATCACGTGACCAACTTCATGTCATTTACCAATGAAACTCTAAAAACGATGTCTTTTTTCTTAAGCAGTGTGTATTTAATAGAAATTGAAAATATACACATAAGTACTCATATTTTTTTTCTTGCACATTACTTACAATATTTGCTTGCTGCCCACAATGTGATTGTTGTGTCATCTATTCCAAAAACTGTTCCACATACACTTATCTTTTTTGTATGGTTAACCGTAATTGGCAGTGCATGTTAAATAGATCATTAACAACAAGTACAATAACTGTTTGCTTGTCTTTTCATGCATTTTCAAGAGTTTCAAAATATAAATACAGTAAAGACCAAACTTCAAGAAATCGAACAAAAGCTAGCAATAAACCAAATCACATTAAGTTATTTTAATATAATCAGAAATTAACATAATGTGTTTTGAAAAAAAAATATCGCATTATTTTATCATTACGGACATAAAACATTGAAATATGAAACTGATAAATCATTATACATCTGTAACATATTTCTTTATCTGGAAATATAAATATTTATACATACTGAGACCCTCTGAAATCAATCCTCCCGGAATTAAGAGCTGCACTGTCACGAAGTCTGGATATGTTCCCAAGCAATGATATACCTTTTTGTATGGACTTGCTGGGGAAGAAATACTTTATAATTCAATGTTTTCCAAGCTACGTTTCGAACAGACAAATAAGAATTCCCTGCTGTTATTCAGGAACATGGCTCTATGTATCTCATCCTTAACTAGAGTGGAGAGAAACTGTACACAATGATATTTAGAATTGACCTTGTTTGAGGATAGGACTTGGAATGAAAATGAATTGGAATGAATTGGTAGGTCTTAAAGATACTTTTTTTTATGCTGGAAATGTAATGTGGGACTTAAAAATAAAAAGATATCACCGCTATTCCTTGAGAATATGCCATATCTTTTCACAGTGTAAACACTGCTACAAATATGAAAGAGGATTAAAATCTACCATATGTACGTGAATCACCGAAGTTAAACATCAGCTTGTATATGTATACTTTCCTAAAGTTTCCTTTAAGTTTACGTATCACTGCATCTCGGAAAATAAGGTGTAATGATTAAAAATGCATAATTACATAGTCCAGATAATTTTGTTTAATCTCATTGCAAAGGAAGTTATTTTGTGATGAATATTTTTCTTTTACAATAACAAGAGGCCCATGGGCCACATCGCATCCACATTATTGAAAAGTTTAGATATATAAGTGGTCAGGGAAAAAGAGGGGTTGGTGGTGGTGGGGAGCATGATTTGAACAAATTTGGTTGATGTTGATTTTTTCAAGGTTTTTCCCCCATACGTTCATCATCTATTCTATTTTAAAACTTTGTTCACCCATTGTGACCCTTCTGTACATCCGGAGGTATAATTTGAACAAATCTGAATATAAACTACCTTAGGATACTTCCATATAAATATGACAAATTATGATGTTGCTGTTCCTGAGAAGAGTTTTTAAGGTTTTTCCTATGTATTCCTTTATAAAACCTTGATCGACCATTGTGACCTCTCCACGGGCGGTCTACAATTTTAAATCTACATACCCTAGGATGCTACCATATAAATATGACCAATCACGGCTTTAATTTTTAAAGATTTTTCCTATGTATTCCTGTGTAAAACTTTGATTTCCCTACGCCCGAGGGTCATGATTTGAATGAAATTGATTCTACACTTCTTGAGGATGCTTTCATATTAATATGAACAATCATGATTTTGTTGTATTAGAGAAGATGATATAGTTTTTTTTCCCTCTGTATTCCTGTGAAAAATTTGATGGCCCATAGTGACCCCCTCCGTACCATGGGGTTCATGATTTGAACAAACTTGGATCTACACTACCTGAAGATGCTTCCATATAAATATGACCGATCAAGGCTTTGCTGTTCTTGAAAAGAATATTTTTAAAGATTTTCCCTATGTATTTCTTTGTAAATTTTTTGATGGCTCATTGTAGCCCCTCCCCATCCTCAGGGGATCGTGATATGAACAAACTTGGATCTACTCTCCCTCAGAATTGTCCCACATAAGGTTAATCTTTTTTTTTCTTCTGGCTCAGTGGTTCTATAGAATTTTTCACTAATTCGTAATGATCTCCCTTTGACAGAAGGCATGGTCCTTCATTTGATTCCCTTTATTCAATAATACTTTGTGGCAAGTTTATTTGAGATTGGTTCAGTGGTTCTTGAGAAGAAGAAAATGTGAAAAATTAATAGACAGATAGACGCCGGAGAAAATGTTACCAGAAAAGCTTACTAAAGCCTTTGGCTTAAGTGACGTAAAAATAACCATATTTCGAAAACAGGTAAATAAAAAAACATTGAGGCGAATGGATTATTTTGGCATGATTTATTCTCCTATGGAAATGACTGTAACCAGAAGTTCTGAGGAGACTGTAACTCTTCTGATTTTTTTAAACAAAAGTAGAGTTAGGTAACACTTGAACCTGAAACTGTGGAAACAGCGATAATTGACATAATGTAATGATCTTTGATTTATTCTCTTCTCTTTTGGCAAATTTATTTGCAATTGGATATCAACTGTACGTAGAAGTAGTTTAGCCTATTGAAGGAATTTACAGAATTTTGAAAGCAATTCATAAACATTTCCTTAGTATAGTACCATTCATCAAAACAAAAAATGCAAATATTCAGAGTTATGTGTCTGAATAGAGTCTGTAAGTGTTAAAAGGTGTTATTGTAATTAGATTAAAAGTGTAGAAAAAGTGGCTTTTTGAAAGATTTTCACAGGAATTTATATTTTTGATCGCCATGGCAACGAAGTTCATTGATATGCAAAATCATTGTATCATAGCGTAGCCTACTAACATGTATTGAATTTCGACCAAAACTTTCGGAGGTGTAGCCTCTAAAGAAATTTCATAGAAATATATCTTTTTGTAGTCTTACAACACCATTCATTTAAATCAAACTTCGGCGCATAAATTTTATTTCTGATTGTAATCCACTTGTGTTCCCCCAGTTATATAGAAAACAGACTGAAACTGTTTAAGTAATCGCGCTTCGAAAGAATTTCACAGAAATTTATGTTGTTTGAAACATTGCCACCTCGTTCATGGAAATAAAAAAAAAAAGATAACACACAATTTATAAAAAAAAAAAAATAATAACTTCCACAAAATTATGTTAGAGACTACAAATTTTGATAGATTTTTCCCACATTTTCATGCATATTTTGAGTACTACATATTGTTCTTTTTTACAAAACAAATTCTGTTGCAATACGTTTGTTGTTAAAGATTTACATGTAGTGGACCAGAAAAAAAGTGAAAGAAAAAGTCTTATTTTCAACATTTCGTTTTGCTTTAAACATTCTTGATTTTTTTTTTATTTACATCATGTCAGTAAGAATTATGCAAGTCTTTTTTGTGTAACGTCGCGAGGGAGTTGAGAAATTTACCTTTCAGAAAGAAAACACGAACTACGTACTGAAATAAAAAAGTTGGAGTTATTTCAAACTTTAATCTCCATGCTCACATACATTGTCTTACTACAAACCTTTAGAAATTGTCAAACCAGACGTAAGATTAAAATCAGGTTTTGGCCAGTCGGATAGTTTCCAAGCCCTTATGCGAACTTTACAGGTTTTTGAAGATCCAATGAACGGGCCAGTGTATGATGAACCTCCTAGAAAAATGGAAGTGTATTCTACATCCTAAATTTTTATATCAATTCTGTTCATACTGTAATCAACTCGATCACATGTTACCCAGGAAAAAAATTACCACAAAAGTATTTAGATAATAAACTTCATCTTAAATAGAAATATATACTTATAATTCTAGAATTGGTTTTGTTATTATTATTATTTTTATTATTTCATCTGAATACAAACGATACTAGTATTAAGTTCTTCTTTTACCAATTCCCTCGCACTTTCTCACTCAAACTTATCCATTTTGAAACGTGGAAGCTTACTTGTTAATATATTTTAACAGAAAGAAATAGAAAATACATCATTATAAATACATTAAAATAAGAAAAACTTTACAGGTTTCTGAAGATCCACATTGCAACAAATTATAACATTTTTATTGTTAAAAAGAACTTTCCATTCGCGCCAGGTCTTATTAAGCCTTTATATTTCAAAATTCTGGTTTGCAGTATATTTTTTATCCCTATATCTGTTGTATAAGTGAAAAAGACGTTTAAGAAAGCTTTGCAGTTTGCTTTTTTCGAACATGAAAAAATATATTCTTTGTATAAAAGATTAGAAAATTTACAGCTTAATTTAAAAAAACAAAAGAAGTTTAATATTAATTACATTAAAACCAATTTCTTTCTTAATTGTTTGATAAATATGCATGATAAGATAATTCCATAGTAAGGGTACCTTTTCACAGTAAATAAAAATATATTGAATTGTCTCAACTTGATGTTTACAGATAGAAAGCAATTTACATGTAATTCGAACATGGACGCATAATATATAATGAATCACTTCAAATAAATTTCAAAGCTGGTAGTAAAATCAAGAAAAGAACAGAAAAACTGTGTATTACCCCCATCACCTCACTCACCTGTAGTTAATACACGTCCAATACCCCCACCACCACTAGTTTTAATGACAGGAACAAACAATAAAATATGTGACGAGTTGTATGCATATGCCACGCCTCCGTATTCAGTAGGGATATCGTCATCTTTTGGAACGGATCCTAGTCCTGGAAATATGTATTCTTTTCCACTTTGAAGAATTTTGACTTGGACGTCTACTTTTGCTGGTAATTCATTCAGGCTGTGAGGAATGCCTAATGGACTTGCGTCGTTGACTGCTAATGTATACCAATCACTGATAAACGGTTTTCTAATGTTGTTCATCTTACCGAAGCCTTTTATAATTAAAAAGGATAATCATTACTACTCTTCGTGTCTTCTTGCAATGGTATATTTATGATTTTATTTTTATTATCTAATTATATTTTGCATTTTCTCAAATTATTATTATACTATTTTGCAAAGAGAACGAAAATATGCATCGGCTTTTTTTTTTTGTTTTGCATTTTCAACGTACTCACAGGACAATAAGTAAGACTGATGTCAGACTGATTTATGCTGTTGATCTGTTTTTGCAGATACTTATAGTTAATATTGATATTACACAGCCATGTGGCTTGACTTTTTCTAATCGTTTTAATAACGAAGGATCTAATCGTTTTAATAACGAAGGATATATGAATGCATTTACGCGATGCATAGCTTAAGAATCTGTGCAGGGAATTCTTTAAAAAAAAAACGGACAAGTTCAAAATCATGATTATTTCGCTGCTTGGTGAAGGGGACAAAATTTTACTTTCTGTGACCACACATTTTACACAAGGCAACAAAAGGAAACTGAAACAACCAGTAAGTGACAGATTTGCCAGTGAAAGCTAAACTCTTAGCTACGTTAAGGTATGTCACTCGTGACATTAGTTATATCAAAGATTTTTTGAGAAGTATATTTTAGATAAGCATTCATATAACATGACTCAAATTCACAAAGAAAATTGGGGGTCAGTGTGTATCTTATTGAGCTTTGGTACAATTAACTTGACCTTTTTGCACTTAAATTGTAACTCTTATATTACCATTTTAACCTTCATAATATTTTACCAGATATAATCATGGCAATAAATATAATATTAATTTACGTAAAATTAGTTTGAATAATATTTATCATTTAAGAAATCATGCCAATTAATACACATAAACTATTGTGTGGACTTTTTGCACTAAAAAGTATCATATTATATTTGGGGCATTAAAAATCTAAATAGGCAATAAAATATTTTCTTGTATCACACTTTTTATGACTTCAGAGCTGATAACGAAAGAAAAAGTTGAGACCAGTGATGCAGTTTGGGAGATATTGGTCAAAATATGCGATTTTCAGGCAAAAAACAGTGTAAATTTTATCTTGATTTCTTCAATATATCTTCTTTTCTTGGCAAATCCTGTAGAGTGAATGTGTAAAAATTGTTCTAGAAATATTAATTGAAACATATATTTAGTATTCACAGAATATAATAACGGGAAAAAATATATAGGGCTAAAGTTCCAAGATGTTAAATTGAACAAATGTGTAGAATTGAAGAATTTTCTTCTAAATATCCTTCAACCACAAGAAATAGTCCTCCATAAATCTTGTTTTTTTTTGTAATGAATTTATGAGCAGTTTTAAAATTGAATGTAGTATAATTTGCATTGTTTAATTCAAACATGTTATAAAAATTCATTTGTAAGAAATACTTTTGAAGTTATAGGTTCTGACTGACCTTTTCTTAAAAGCTGACGAGTGCCATACATGTACCCTAAGGAAGGTCTGAATTTACATTTGTGATGCACCGTGTGGTAAATATCATTTTGATGTCGTGAAAATAAATTACTGACAAGAATCAATTTTGCCCCATGATGATGCGTAAATAACTCGCATACATGTATTTTATCCATTATTTAGCAAAAGATGCAAATTCTCACTCTTTATAACAATACTGTCGAGTAACAATAAACAAAACTTTTTCATACTGGTTTGATTCTCAGGAGCATGTTTTGAGTACTACCCGAATTTCAAACAGTTCGGACTACTTACAGATAAGATGATGCTATAGGGATTTCAACAACCTCATTTGAAGTCAGCATATCGTAAATTCTACGGTCGTTATTATGACCTTGTTAGCAAATATAACTTACCCCTGTGTCGTATTTTACCTGACGTGTTTCATACAGTTTGTTAGACCTGTTTTTATATTAAATTTGACGCATTGCGCAGTGATTAGAACGTTTGATCTAGAGACGCGGTGCAAGGAGTTGATCCTTACGTCGCGGGATCGAATCCACTGCGGGTCATGGAGAGCGGTCTTTTGGATGAGACCGTTTAAACCGACGTCCCATGTCGAGGTAGATGCTGGCACGAAAAAGATCCCTCACTGCCCTAGCCTGAGTGCCAAGTATATGTCAAAAATTTGCAGCCCTCCATCGGCAAGTGGTTGCGTCTCCATATGAGTGAGAAATTCTCGAGAGGGACGTTAAACAACAAACAAAACAAACAAACTACGGAATGTCCAATTTACCTGATCAATACATAGGGCGCATGGCGGGAGTGACTGGTCAATAAGGGATACTTACTCCTCCCAGGCACCTGATTCCACCTCTGGATTTCCGGGGGTCTGTTTTTTTTTTTATACCTGTATCGTTTGTAGATTTTTTTTTCTTTTTTGAGACAGTTCACTATTCACCTTTTTTTCAATTAAATACTTTTAAAAAATGCTGAATTAAAAATGAAACCATCGTCAGTTTTTAGATTTTACCAATAAAACCAAAACAACAAATCTGGGGTCCGTTTTACAAAAAAACTTATGAATAAGACCAAAAACTTCAGTTGATTGTAAGACCTTGCAAAATTAGTGAGTCTGTTCAAAATCTTTAGAATAAAAATAACTATATATATTCCTTTTAAAAACATTAAAACCGTTTTTAATTGAATGTGAATTAGACAATTATAAGCAGAACTAAATTTTGATCTTAGCGTAAGTTATTTTGTAAAAAGGGACCCAGATATTTAAACATTTGTATAAATAATCATTTTATCTAGGCGTTATGGAGCTGCACAGCGACTGAGGTTGTACATGTAAAAGAAAATCGCCTTTACGATAAGCGTATTTTCCAATTTACTTCAAAAATACAAAGGCATAGATCAGACTGTTTGAGCTGAATATATATGGTGTATCAACTGCACCGTCTTTTTTCAATTCATGATAACATTTTTGATTCAAACCCGTCACGTGATACAAAGCTGATACATGAGATATAACTGGTACTTAGAACGGCACACGATTTCATTCATTATGGATAATTATACTATCTTTGTTGTACGTACATGGTTATCTTGTTACAAAGTTTATTAAAAGTAATATTTATTAAGGAACTGAGATAACATTTTCCATTTCCTTCCTTAACATAGGTTATCTGTAGAATTTGATACCCGAATCTGGAGAATGACAAATTAGGGTGTACTGTAAATATCTCAATTAAAAAAATTAAAAACATTTAAAAATGTACATAGTGTCTCTGGGGAAAACAATGTATCTGTGATTCACATATGCAGGGGAAAAGCCACAGCATCAGGATTTCAAAGGGTAAACAATCCCCCATGTAAGACCTAGAGTGTCAAAAATAAATTGACGAGACGCATACGCCTAAAAATTTTCCTTTATCAGATAAAATCAATAGTCATAATGCAAATACTGGAAACCACACGTAATGTGAAATGTATGTCGCAAAGTAAATGCTTCCAAAGTGTGATTTACTCAATCAGAAGACATATTGTTGATCGGAGAATCCAAACATTGATAGACTTAATTTCAGTTTAACAGAAAGTTACACAAATCACACAATATTAACAGTTTCGTTTAAAGTCATCGCATGTTCAATGATCAATACAATGACCTTGTCAGCAAATACAACCTATTAAGTCGAATGCTGACTAACGTCTTTGATACTAATTGTTAGGCCACCATTTACACACTGAATTGTACACAGTTTTCCCGTTTTCCCGATTATGACAAGCAGCACACGGTTGGTGTGACCGGTCGAAGGGATGCCGACTCCTCAATGGCACCTGATTCAACCTCTGATGTTTAGAGGTCCTTGTTTGCTCTGCTCTTGATCTGCATTGTTTCAATGGACTTTTGTGCTTGATTACTGTTCGCTATCTCCATATATCACTGTTTCTCCATTTTGAAAACTTGAAGTATGTTTTTTCGCCATTGTGTTATAATAATCAAAGCTTACGTGGTTCGTAAATGTTATATTATTATATTTGTATCAAGAAAATCCGTATCAGAAGCTGAAATACTATAAACATAAAATTTTGGAAAAATTGTAAGTCTGAATTATAAATCTTTCACCTTTGCATCGTATTGAAAGACATTTGCTTACTTACATATAAATGAAAACAATCCAATAACACGCATCTGTAAAATCATAATTTCTTCTCTTCCACTCTTCGGAATTGAGGGACGCAAGTCGGTAGGAAATATAGAGCTTAACCATTTCCTTATACACTGTCTTTTAAACTGTTGATTTCAATGAATTGATGACACTAGGATATATCCTATTGATTATCTTAAAACAAGTAGGGCAATGAATTTCTTTCCTGTACAAATATTTTCGTTTTGTTTTGCACAAATACATTTTGAAGGCTTGTGTTCTTTATAATCATTTTTCTGAAGAAAAATTGATTTGCTTATTCAATTACGCTACATACATGTACAAGAATGCACGTTCATTCGATACTCAGAATGATTCTGAAAGCATTCATAACTTGCTTAGCCTTACCTTACAAATATATACGAATAACCTAAATTCAAAGCCTTATATTGGAAACTTTACATTTTTACATTAAATATAAATCTTATTTATATATATTTCTGCAACTAATGGAGATCAGTTATTGCCTTGATAAACCTCTCTTGGTAAAAAAAAAAAAAAAAAAAAAAAAAAAAAACCACTTGTCACATTTCAACGACCTAATACTTAAATGATATCAAAATTAATATTATAGAAAATTATACTATCGTTCAGAAAATCTGAATTTTACTACAATCCATTTAATGGCAAAAATAATTGTAAGATAAATTAAGTTTCGGATAGCTATTTATAAATATTTTGTTATAACATACATTCATTCTTAGTTTTACTCACATATTAACTCATAAGAAATTGGGAACCATGTCGTGCTACGGCTAGTACTAGCTGCAGAAACATGGTATAGGGCTTGAGGTGTGGAACCTGATGACGGCCTCAAAATTATAATTTTGGACTTATATAATATCATTGTACATGTAGCACATTATCAAAATTCCTTTTTGGCAGCCCTCACCTTTTTCTAATCTGTATTCTTTTTAGTTTTTAATACAAGATGTAATTATGCACTTGTATTATACTACATACACGCAAACAAATAGAAACTTACAAACTTGCATTTATCTTAAAATCTTATAAATGTCTTTCCTTTTTTATTAGTATAATTATTGGTTAAGTATTACTTACAACCTTGCATATAACTTACAGTAACCAAAATTATGGTTTTATTTTATCATTTATAATTTTTCTTAATTTGATATATTATTAATTTTGTTGAAGTTAACATTTAACTCCATGTATGATCGGCAACCAAAAAATGATTGCTTCAGACTTCCCGACTAAGTAACAAGATGGTTATTTATTTATTATTTAATCATTTAAAAAGAATAATAAGTATATATACATGTATATCTACGCGACATACAGAGGCCTGTCCTTCTACATAACAGTGGAAGGGACAGAGATTTTGAGGTTGGAAGCACAAGGTGAACAAATAAGAATATAAATATTTTTAGCACCAATGAATGATTTATCGTAATTATGATATATCAATATAATACAAACAGAAGACTAAATCAGCCACAACAGAAACAGTCTAAGGCATTATCTATATATGATATTACGTTAATATCTGCGTATATACTGATATAAGCAAATCTAAAAAAAAAATCGTGGGTATGACATACTTGATGACATATATGGAGATAACGAACAGTATTCAAACTCAAATGTCCATTCAAACAATGTAAATCAGGAGCAGAGCAAAAACGGACCTCTAAAACATCAGAGGGATCAGGTGCCATGGAGGAGTGAGCATTCCCTGCCGACCGGTCAGATCCGCGGTGTGCTCTTTGTCATGATCGGGTAATGATAGGAAATTCCATCGACAATTCAGTGGGTAAAAATTGATCTAACAATAAGTATGAAACCATTCAAAATTCAAAAATTCAATTCATATATATATATATATATGCTTTAGTAAAATGCTAAAAATTAAATTGCAACATCTCTAAGCGATCCGCAGTTCCATCTGTTTTGTCCATTTAAAAAAAACAAACATCGTATAGTTTACTATTGCTCAAAGAAATGCTAATTAACGAAGGTATATTTTATACAACAAAGAAACACACAATTATGCAAACATTTTGACAATTAAATACACGTGTACTCTAAACCTAATGAAAAATGGTTTTTGAAGTCATTTGACACCAATCATAACGCTCAGAAATATTCAACACTGGGTAATCCGACACACTGTCTAATCCGACTTTGTTTTTCTTTCCCGCAGCATGTCGGATAAGACAGGTTTCACTGTAATAGTAAAGTCCTAAAAAGAAACGCCCATCCTTGTAAAGGATGTATTTTCTATCTAAAAAATTCGCCGATATTATCATTTGGCACCTTAACTGTACTGCGTAAATGATTTGTCTTTTTTCTTTATGCATAAAGTCCATTGAGGGTCTAGGAGTTAAGGAGATAATTCATAATACAAGATGAAGCAAGACAGCGTGCCCTAATTAAGAGACAATTAAGTGCTCTGCATTAAAAATTGAAGACTCTAAATTTCTTTGATTAAAATTTCAGTTAGAGAAAATTAAGTTCTGATTTTCTGATCGTCGAAGATTTTACTGCGTCGCAAATTTTTTTACTGTGGCGCACGCATAAAATTTGAATTTAAATTAAAATACTGTATCTGAGGAAATTCTACTGTGTCGGGGCGGGCACAGTAAAACAACTCATGGAAAACCCTGTTAAATAGTATTATCTTTCAGACTTATTTAACGTTTATCGGTAATCGGTGAAAATAAGGTGGAATGTGTAACGGACAATATAGCTGATGTTAGAATATGTGTAGGCAATATCGTCATATAAATTGAAAAGCTTAATTTTTAAAATAGGATGAATTTTCATTCTCAGAATCAAACTAACATTTAGAAAATATTTATTTTATTTATTCTTTTCTGTCCCTTAAAAGTGTACAACAGTCTGAGATAATGATAAGTCCAAATGCAATACAGATTAAAGAAACTCCTGAGCTTCCTATCGCTATAGAACTCTGTCGAGGGTCATAAGCACAAGTTAAACTTCTTTTAAAAGCACTAGTGTTCATTTTGTCTACTTTGAGCTCAGAGATAATGGTTTCGAATTCTTTGATACTCTTTGTATTTGGTGTTCCCGTTGATAAAGTTGTTTGGGCAGTTGAATACATCGTACATGCAGATGTTGATGCTAAGAAGAGAAAATATGCAATGTTTATTTATATGTTTGATAAATAGTTGACATTATTCATATGAAATTAGTTAATACACTTCCTCTGTTCAAACTCATAATGTTTTCTGTCAATATCTTGATTTAGATTTATAAATATTTCCTATATTAAAGACAGATATTACTATATTTTTTATTACAAGGATGGTGTTCCATAGCACATATCTTCGTTAATTGTACCTTTCAAAAACATTGAGTTATGTAGATCAACCAGGTATATGGAAACTAAAACCGTCCGTTTCATCAAACTTGCTGGAAACCACACTTTGGTAAACTTACATTAAGTGGTTTAAAAAAGGCAGAAGATTTTTCAAGGTCGTGGGTTTGTTAAGAAATAATGTTCGAAGGTGATATTCTATGGTTTCAAATTGTTTCGTTTCAAGACAGCATTTTGCAATTCCGTGGAAGATATTATTGGCTATCAAAGAATTACGGGTTATGTTTGGTTCAATTTGACAGCAGATTTCATATCAATTTTGACTAAGTTTACTGCGTTTTCGTGATGAATACAGAAGGCTGAAGATGGGTGTAACAGGTCGACATGGGATTTATTATTCCTCCTAGGCACCTGATCAAAAATCTGGTGTCCTCAGTCATATGTGTTCTGGCCTGTTTTAGATTTTGCATTTGTTACAGGATTTCTGAGAAGGACCACTGTCTGTTATGTCCATCATCTTCATTAAAAATAATGACTGAACCATAAAAAAGAACTTACATATCTATATGCATTACCTACTATAACTGGACTCTGACTAAATGCATGGACCTAGGATTAGATAGGACTCAGAGTCAAAGTTTTCGAAGAAATATCTCGGAAGGATCTTTGATTTAGATTTTGGCAAGCTATTGACAAATAAGTTGATAAAACAAGAATATCAACACTCTAGTATAAAGTCATCATTTCGCAAGTTCTATGGTTGATAAAATGACCTTGTCAGCAAATAATATTTTTCAATATGCGAATTTTGAGTGACGTTTTTCATACAGACTTTAAGGCCATTATTTTCATACTGTATTGTCTACTGATTTATCCCTCTGTAAACAAAAATCCTTCTTCTAAAGATAAGCAGGGAGTTTATTGATAAAAGTGATATATACAGGTAACTATAATTTGAGTAATTTCAAAGAGTTAAACTGAAAGACTTAGAGTTCTTAGCATTGATTATGCTTCAACAGATATTCAAAGATTTCGAAGGGATATACATGAAACCCAAGTCAACAACTAGTCAGAACTCTAAACTAACATTAAAGAGGTTACACGTGAATAAAGCAATATTTCTGTCTCACAAGAGATGGAGGGGGATATGATGTTAAATATTTTCAAAGTAAAAATGGTTTCTCATTCGAAAAAAAAAGAAATTAAAACCAATTAAACTATGGCTGATAACCCTCTTATATTTAAGTATTAGCACATTCATTCTGATGTCCTCAAATTTAGTGAACAATTTCTTAGATGTCTTGTGTACAGACCTACGATTGAAAGGACAGTTTAACACATTAGAAAATGACACTTCTTGCCTATCTTCCTTAATGAGGAACCTAATTCCTTCCTGGGTGTTAGTCACTTGAAATCAAAATGGATAGCGTGAGCGGAAAGATGAAACTGTGTTACCAAGAATGATATGAATGCTATGTTTAGAATTGAGAATAATGAGCATTTCGGGAGCAGGAGCTAGTTTTCTACCCAAGAAAGTCGTCTGTTGTCTATAAATGACATTGTTCGATTAACAAAGTTTCCACAAGAACTAAAATTAAAAATATTTTTATCACTCTTGTGTTTGCTTTGAATCCCATGTGCAGGAACAAGAAGTATTTTGATCTAAACTGAAATTGATAGATTTTGTGTGTGTGTTTAAACTTTGGGATTTCTTTTATACAGTTCTGATTTAACTAGAAGCTGATGATACTCACCTGAACAAGCCAGAGTTGTGATAGACCATGACGTTCCATTACACAATATCTCAATTGCACCTCCATTCCCTTGGTATCCAGGTACACACGAATATAAAGTCTTACTTCCGGCTATAATCCCATTATACATTTTTATTGAATTTGGAATATCTGGAGGCAATGTGCACTCTAAATTAAATACAAGTTCTTATCATTTTTTTTCTTTTGGATAGTGATATTTAAGTGAGTAATTAAGTTACTAAAAGCGGAGACTGATTTGTTCTTTACATTGATATGCGAAGAAATATTATCTCATCAATACATCAAATACAGTAGCTTTATACGAATAACTGGAATCATAAAAAAATATTCAATTGATTGTAGCATTAAAATAGACCTGTAAATCCTGCTTTGATAACTTTTACTGATATCTGAACGTTGTTAATCTGCATGTTCTCTGTACCATCTCCCCACAAGCCACCAATGTAGATCAGATTCCCCCCAGACACACTCGTGCTGGGAGTTCATAACAAAATATCTGTTCGTGTGTAGCCAAAAAGCACGCCCCCGTATGATTCCCCCAAGTAACCAAGGTTGGCAGATCCAGCTCCGTAAAACACTTTTCCTTTGCTGACTGAGGTATCCCTAACCTGATTATTGTCAAACAATGCGAATGTGAATCCGGTCTATTTACATGTACATGTAACAATTTCTTTTAATGAAAAAAGTACAAGTGTTCAAAATGTAAAGAATATTGTGATTACGCAGCTCTGTTAAGGCTGCATAAAGGGGGCGGGGCCTAATTTATACGGGAAAAGTTTACCGTGACATCACACAAATATAGCAATTCCTCACAATAACAGAAAATGAAATAATTTGCGAATCTAAACTGCATAAGAGTAATGAACAACATCAAAACTTACCACTGCATTCATTTGTGTCGCTAGTTAAATCCCATACAGCAAGATATAAACAAGTCACTGATCGCAATGCACTTGTCGACATGACGTCATCATGGTAAAGTTTTACGCATTTTATGTGCAGTGAGAGGCGGATCAAGTAATTTTTTCACAGTGAAAAATGCATTTTATTATTAAACAGAATATTATTTGAAAATCTTAGGTAGACCAATAATACAAATCTGAGACGTTCGTTTAGTGCCATTATTTAAAAAATATCGAGAGAAGGTACTGAATTAATTCTACCGTGTTTTTGTATACAGAGTGTGCATATTTCACGCCAAGGTGCCTCATTAAATCGCCTTTTCGCAAGGACATGCACTTAATAGATCTTGACCATTTTTGGAATACACATAATGGACATATTCCTTAACTTGAAAAGTACTGCTGCTTTCCTGAAATCGATAGCATAACTTAATAAATACATAAAATACTTGTTAAAGGTCACACATATTTCGACATTAGCAAGATAACTTGAAATTTAAACTAATAAAATGCGAATTCTATTTAAAGCAGCAGCACTTTCCATAAACTACAAGTTATGTAGAAACAATCTATTACTTTAATTTTTAATTTTAACTAGGGTATGCCCTTGCGATATTGAAATTTGTTTGTGACCTACATACAGTACACATTACATGCATTTATCACGTGACTATCAAATAACGTGACCAAACCAAATTCAGTACAGAGCGGGGTATACAATGTTATTTCAAAGAATGTAAAAGTCATAAGATAATATAGTACCTTTTCAAAATTAAAATTCATTTTAATAAGGTATGTATTTATGCACGTTTATATTCTGTTGATTTCTTCGAAGTAAGCCTTAACAGTGCTGCGTACTATTTCAGAAAGTAAAGTATTTGATACGTATCTAATTTCATATAATCAACAATGTATGTTTGTACCTCAACATTGACTAAGTGAAAGTCCAGGTCAATTGAGTTTAACATGGGTATTACTCCTGCTCCGGACAAGACGTCACCTTTGACGTACCCGAAGTTATTCGTGTTTGATAAATCTGATGACGAAAGTATCCATGCTCGAATGATGACGTCAGCAGACACTGCATTGATATTGATACCATTTCCCCATCCATCCCTGTAGCAGGTTACGTAATCATCTTTCAAGAAAATAAAATGTAGGTACTAACTTCTTTGAAATGAAAATCTATAAAAATCTGTATACATGTATAAATCATACCTCCCCTCTGCGTTTTAATTCTTTAATGGATAGTATGATACCTATAATAATACATGTAACTTATATTTTATTCTCCCATTATGTAACAAACTCACAGTATTTGCTTGCTGCCCACAATGTGATTGCTGTGTCGTCTATTCCAAATACTGTTCCACATGCACTTACAGCACCGGAATGGTCAACCGTGATTGATGTTGTACATGTAAGGTAAAATCATTTACAATTAATAAACAAAGAAGTGATAGGTTTTTGTTTATTTGTTTGTTGTTTAACATCTCTCTCGAGAATTTTTCACTCATAAGGAGACGCCACCACGTGGGGTGGACAAATTAAGACTTTACTCGGCACTCAGGGTCATTGAGCAGTGAGGAATCTTTTCCGTGCCAGCACCTACTGCTACACCGACCTCGGTTTATACGGTCTCATCCGAAGGATTGGTCTCCACGTCCTGCAGTGGGATTCTAACCCGCGATCAAGTCCTTACACCGCGACACTAGAGCAAACGCCCTAACCACTGCGCCACGAGGGTGAATAAGTCATAGCTACTTCCATATGTACTTTTACACCACCTCGGATATGTTGTCCTGGCCCGTCTGTCTCTCCGTCCGTATGTCACATTATTTTTATCCTCCGACTCCTCTTTCATTTTAAGCAGTAGCTGATTCATCTTTTTTGAATATGATTGGTGGTGTTCTAGACATGTGCATTAAGGTTTCGGAATTTTGATTTTTTTTTTTTTTTACCCTGGGGCACGAAGGGTCGAAAAGAAATTTTTCTACAAATACTTGGTTTCCTGACTTCATCTTAATTTTTCGCAATAGCTAATTCATACTCTGGAGAATGTCTCATGGTGTCCTCTTGATATGCGATTTCGATTTTCACCGCTGAGGCGATAAAAGAGCGAAAACAGATGTTTAATAAGAAAAATCCGTTTTCCTGAACGCCTGTTACAATTTATACAGTAGTCAATCATCTTTCGGAAAACGATCGGTGGTGACATGTAGATTGGCCATCATATTTTTTAAAAAAAAAATCATTTTTACTTCGGGTCAGCTGAGGCTGAAAAATGACGTTTTTCTACAAATTAAATGCATCTAGACACAACCAGGTAAGAGGTCGGGATGCCAACTGCTTTATATATACTTCAGTAATTCTAAAACGATGGTGTTAGGATGACCCTAGAACCAATTAACCTAAACAACCCTTTCTACATTTTGACATTAGCATGCAACAAGAATACACATAGTGTAGGTATTGGGGTAACAACTGTTCTAAAGATATTTGATCAGTACAAAATGAGGTAACTTCAATGCCAGGCGAGAGTCTTGAAATTTTCTAAAGAGGCAGATATTTTTTTTTATTACAAAATTTCCATTTTTAACATAACTTTATAATAATTACTGAGTATTTCGAAATAATAGAATTATTGCGGCTTATTCCTTAGGTACCAAAATATGAATGAGAGTATCTAGAGGCACTTACGTGAGGATATTACTATCTTATGACAACATCTTGTTGAGGTTTTTACCTTATCAGCAAGAGAAATAAAGCGATAAAATAACTGAAAATTTATCATAACTGTTCCCAAGAAATCTATTATGTCAAGATATAAAATATTTACCAAGTCCTTCTGAAACCAGCCCTGCAGGATGCATAATTTGGACAGTCACAAAATCTGGGTATGCTCCCAGGCAATGATAAACTTTTTGATATGGATTTGCTGAAGAAAGAAATATCAGTCAATTTTGTACAATTCGTGTAGCATATTAGAAAGTGTTTTATCCATTTCATTGTTTTGGTGTAAAAATCTTATACTTTAATAATATTTATTTATGCAAGAATGCATTGCTACGTGAAATTTTTTTTTCTATGATCCTATAAAAGGAAGTTTTGATTATTTTTTTTTTTTTGAAAGGAAAAAAACATGTACCACTTATTGAAAGTCAAAGGTGTAATATTTTTTTAAGGATAAATAGCAAAAACTTTTTTTTTCAGAAATCCGCAATATATCTCCTAGATTAATAATAGTGTTTTCTAGGTTAAGTGAGAAAATTTTGTAGGATTTTGTCACAATGGCAAAAATATGTGCAAAATTTTGCATAGAATTACATGGAAAACGACAGAGAGTCGCATATCTAAGCACCAAAGAAAACTTACTATTTTTTTATTTTTTTTTTTTTTTTAGAGATCGATTATTTATGCCACTTCCATTCAAAATCAGTGAAAAAGTATATATCAGTTCATGTATCAAATGTTTGTTTGTGTTATATATTCTTAAGATCAAGATGTACTAAATGAAGGTGCCTACATATATCTTAAATTTAAGAAACGAGTTCTTTTAATGATCCTTTACAAATATTGCTTGGTAAAATAAGGTGTATCGGGACATAATTTTTAGGTTAACTCAATGAAAAACATATCTTAAACTGTAATTTTCAACGAAAAATGAAGAAAGTCAGATATAAATTTAGGAATTTTTTTCCTTCAGAGAAAAGAGAAGTGTATCTATATTGCCCACAGTCTTTCAGAAAACGGTTTTTTGTATCTTCTTGATCTCTACTTTAAAATGATTAAATTAAATTGAATATAGATATCGGGGTTACTTCAGATATGATTTCAAATTGAATTCCACGAAAATGCTTCTTTTTCTACATGATTTTATTTCAGAAGTAAAATGTGGGAGAAATTAGATTTAAATCAATTATGACGTCACAATGGATCTAGCACCACCAACAAGACATTCTGAACTCATTTACTAGATCTTGACCTTAGGTCCTAATGTTTGCAAACAAATAATTTATCTCACTAAAAACCTGTAGAAATCGTCAGTCCAGATGTAAGACTAAAATCAGGTTTTGGCCAATCTGATAGTTTCCAAGCTCTAATGCGAACTTTACAGGTTTCAAAGGATCCAATAAATGGGCCAGTGTATGAGGAACCACCTACAACAATGACAGAATTTTATGTACAGTATGCTTGATTTTCATTTAGTTCGAATTTTAAAATCCTTCCCTGACAGAAGTAGAAAAAAATATTTTGATCAAGAACTATGGAATTAGGAGAAATGAAATACATTTCAGAAATAAATCTACTTTGTATTATGTAGTACAATGTACTGCTGTAAGTTTTCACCTGTAGTTAAAACACGCCCGATACCACCACCATAACTAGGCTTGATCACAGGAACAAACAACAGAACATGTGAATAATTGTATCCATACGCCACTCCTCCATATTCATTAGGAATATCGTCATCTTTTGGAGTGGAACCAAGTCCTGGAAATATGTATTCTTTGCCACTTTGGAGAATTTTTACTTGAACGTCTACTTTGGCGGGTATTTCATTTAAGCTGTGAGTTATGCATAAGGGACTTGTGCCATTGACCGTTAATGTATACCAATCACTTATGAATGGTTTTCTTATGTTGTTCATCTGACAGAAACCTGTATGAAAACAGAAATAAAGCAGATAATATACATCATTTCTCCATGTTCTTGTATGCAACTGTAATTTTTGGTTATTGCAGTTTCTTGCCTTTTGATTTAAGGAATTTTAAGAACCTCTTGCATTTAGAATACTTTAAGCAATTTTATTAGCTCAAGATGATTGTTATATAGATTACTAACTTAAAAAACAATAACTATAAAGAGTTGATAGCAAGTCAAACGTAGACCAACGGAGAAACCAACCATAATGGAGAAGTAAGCATATCTTATTAACCGTTCACACAGGCTGTGAAGCCTTTGTATTGATCAGTTACACGGATTAAGTATCTCATTATCGAAACAAAAACAATTACCAAATAATTGTATAAAAAAATGACAGTCATCATTTGACGGAACGACAGCGTTTTTTTTTTTTATTTTATTATCTTTTTATTTTTATTTTATTTATTTATTTATTTATTTATTTATTTATTTATTTATTTATTTATTTATTTATTTATTTTTGCAAACGAGGTCAAAGACGACCATTGAGTTTGCAATCTGTTCATTTTAAAATATATCCCGACAGCTTTTTGCGCTTCAGAAATTGTTTGATCTCAGAATGTTTGCTCAGAACCCATATTATGAAACTTTTCTTTGTATTAATTCAACATTGCCTTGCGATGCTATTATTATTGCATACGTAAGTACTATTGAAATATGTCTTTACTCTACAAACATCAAAGAAACAAAGACTAGAAAAATAAAAGAAGCAAATATTGAGCGGGGTTAATCGATCTGCAAAGCAAATTTACAATTCCGTGGATTTTTTTTTAATCTGAATTCTGGAAAATACTTAAAAATCACCAACGGTTGTTTTATTGTTTGTTCCGCCAGTAAGAAAATAGAAGTGTTAGAGAGAGTCTGCCGTCTGTCTGTTAAACTGTAAGTTACAGTGCAAAACTCTTCCACAAGACATGCCCAGTACAATCTAATAGAAATTAAATGTTAGATCTGTTCCCATACTCGTAACTCATGTGTAGAGAGTATGAGAGCGCATCAAGCATCTAATTGTAATTAGGTTGTGTACAGTATAAATTTCAATTCTATATTCCCGTTGGAATGTTTATCTATGCTAAATGTTTTGATGTCTAAATAAACGAAAAGAACCACACACAAGTTGACTTTACCAATACATAAAGGGTGTTTTATAACATCTGTCCCCGTTACAAACTGTTATAGAAATACATCAGATTAATTTATTTAAGGGGAAGAAGGACCTTGGGCTGAAAAAATACCTTTTTTCACATTTTGTATATTTCTAATTAAGAATGTCCCACATATCTTTAAGCAGTTATATCATTAGATTTCTTACCTTATTTCAGAGATACTGATTGACAAATACTATGCCCTAGAGAATCTAAGTGGAGTTTATATTCTCCATGTTTCCGGGCTCATTACTCTGTCCATAATGGGATTTTTTAAGCATGTATAAAAACTTTGTAAGTGGACATGTATCTTTTAAAATATATCAGAGTATGAATAGGGTTTAAAATTCGTAAAAGCAAGTTTCTTCTATCTCACTGCATCTGGATGGAGAAAATTACGTACTTTTTTAAAAAAAAACTTAAACGACAGAAAACGTAATTTATAAAAAATTCTATCATTCAATATTTTTAAATTTACGTTGAAATGCAAGTCCTTCAAATTGTTAATTATCTTTAAAAATTTCGAATGGTGTAGCTTACCTCAATATTGCAGAACATCGTTAAAGAGGACATAAGCATGACAAAACGTGTCATGTTTACATTTCTCGAGTACGGGAAAAACCAAATATGACGTCACACGTAAGCTAAATAAGCGAAGTAAGATATACCTACATAAGATTTCCGTCATCAGCCATGCAAAAAAAAATTTTGTGTTCACCGTTTCTCAAAATGTTTCATCATATACTGATTATGACCGTTTTTACATAATAATACTGCCCCTCTGTTCACCGAGTATGATCTTGCTGTACTAACAGATCGTGTATAACGTCACAGACTTATTGGACGTACAGTTTAAGGAAACAGAGGAGTGGATCAATCTTTTTCATAATTTGTTAATGTTTAAAAGAATGTTAAAACTTTTTTTTTATTTTTTATATAAGATGGTAATTAAAGTAAAAAACCAAATGTCACAAATGTACACAAGAACTGATGCTTTACACGTTTTGGACTTATATATATAAATGGAGACTATGACGTAGTTAAACAGAGTCATGTGACCATGTGTCCTTCATCCCCATAATAGTTATAGATAAATTCATCAGATTTTTTTCAACATATTTTTTCTGGTATAAGGATTCATGATTTCCTCTCACAATGCCTTCGATAAATCATCTTCGAAAAAGTGTTTCTATTGCATTAGCTGTGCTTAATGACACCCTTTTTGTGTTAAACAGTTAAGTTAAACAATGTTTTAAGTAAGGATAACTACAGCTCAGTTTTTCCATTTCTTTCTGTGTTCTCAAATTTGATTTTACAAAGTATTAAATGTATTAATCATGATTTTTATCCGATTAGATACATGTTTGCATCATCCTGACTACAAGTTTCAATACAAATCTAGCTCTGCATTTTTCTAGGACCTGTTTCAAAGTATGAAAAAGACGTAAGAAATAAAAATATCTAAATTGTTCAAATCCTATGCAGTAATAACATATAAATCGTATTTCTCATAAGACCTCCATAATGCTACCTGTGACGTCATGAACTTTTGCAGTTTTCAGTTTTTTCTTAAAAAGTAGCAGAAGACAACAATTTTCAGTGGAATTTTCTCTCTGGTAATATGAACAACTTGCATCGTCCAAAATTGTAATTTTTACAAGGATTTTACACAACATATCCAAAATAAGAAAATGGGCGACGGCTGTGAACACTATTTTCCTAAGGAAATAACCCCCAAAATGATTCATTTTGAGGTTTTTTTTTTCCTTAGAAATTTACCAATTTAATGACGTCATATTTCCATAATGGTCCTCCTTCATCCCGTATTCATTCATGATTTATCAAGTTCATATACGTAACTCATATTAAGGCCAATTTCATAACTTTTTGAGACTATTACATTCTTAAGGCACAATAAAGTTAAAACTGTACCTTCTTCTTGGTGAATGACATTCATAATACAGCCAACATCAACAGTTTTTTTTAGACAGAGACATCAAAAAATCAGTGAGTTTTAATGACGCCAAATACGACAAAATCTTGAAGAATCCTAATTTTAAGATGATTTTCTTTACTTTTTCTTTCTTAGAATACTTTTTCTAAAACACATGATCAAAATTAAGAATTTTAAAGGCAATTGTAATTGGGCCAAATTTTATGTAAAAGTGTATTGTTTTATTTCTGATAACTGGTGCGTCATAATTACTTGAACAGAATAATTTCTTTAATTTCTGAAAATTCTACTCTTTCTATGTATATGTATTTTCAAAATTGTATTAGATCAAATGAATATATTCCTTATGAAATAATTTTGTTTTCCCTACATGTATTTTCCGCTTTTAATGGAACAAATTGAAAGAAAAACGTACACATACATGAATGTGCTCTAAAATATGTCAAACATACAGGCTGAAATTTGGATTTATTCCATCTCATTCACATCTTTTATATATTTAGAATATGTTGAGAAGTATTTCTAGAATCTCCATTCTTTTAAAAAATATTATAAATCTAGGATTTATTATTATCAAATGTTAATCAGAAAAGAAATGGGCAAGTCCGTTTTTGATGTTGAAAAATTGGGAAATACAATAATGTCATGTATCATACATGGATATTCAATGATTCTCTTAAATATAAAAAAAAAGAAGAAGAAATTCCACTTACTCATAAACGAATACAGTACAATCACAAGAATATACAGATTCATGGCTTCTTCTACTGTACTTCTCACTTTTAATTAACAAAAGAAAGAAATCTTTAACATTTGGCAGTCTCCAGAATAATATCTGTATGCCTTAATGTTCCTATTGACTTTTGTTAAAACAGACTCTATATAGATAAGGTAATAGATTTATTAACATGTAAATGCTCTTTTAACATTCTGAAAGCTTAATATGTTTACCTAGGCTATTTCCTTTTGAGTTAGAACATTAATGATTGATCTTTTTAAATTCAGAACAGATCTTTACTTATTAACCGTTGCTTGAATAAAAAGAGTGAATTAATAATTGTGAAAGTCGAACTTTAAACCATACATTATTCCTAAGATCTTCTTTGGTACTTCTAAAACTTATCACGATTTTAAGTTCATTTTCATATAACTCCACCTGAAAATTAAGGTTCTTTTTTTTGCATGTCTCTTTTTACACTAACAACTACTCTACTAAAAGACCATTAGCCTCTACAAAGTCAGACACATGGATTAAATATAGCATATGACTGATGACATAATGAGATAAGTGGAAATATTAGTGTTGATAAATATATCTAGAATTAGTCATTTAAATAAATCAACTCAAAATTCACCACATCAGTTCACAATTTGAATTGGGAATAGATAAATTGGACACCTTTAAATTCATCGAACATTAGTCTTATTTTGCACAACCTTAAAAAATCTTATTGTTGAGATTGTCATTTCACTGCAAACAAACATATTGAAAACCCAAATTCATGCTTAGCAGATTGAGATTAATATTCTATGAATGTTTAATCAATACAAGCTGTGTTTTTTGATAACTTTCTTTTGCTGTTCAACATTTCTGTTTGTAACTTTAATAGTACGGATCAATAAGACAGAGAGTAAAGGTTATTTTTTTCATAAGAAGAAACGTTTCTTTATTTTGAATTGATTTTGCATGAAAAATAGAGGATAATTCTATGCAAAACTCGTACTTCAATAGAGATAATTAAAGCTAAAGCTAGTTGGATTCATGTAAGTGAAAATATTGAAAAATAGATCGTCATCCGTTCTAGCTGTTTTTTTATATTCCCATCTTTAAAAAAATGGGGGGTTCCAGTTTTATCTTTTTGGAATAGTATTTTAAAAGTTTACATGATGGCAATGATATATATCTGAAGCATAAAAGGAACGTAAATATCCGTCAGAGAATTTATTTTTCTCAAAAATTATTAATATGAAACAAGAACACGACAGAAGAATTTTTTTTTTAAATGAGTTTTAGTTTTGCAACACTTTGTTTATTGAAAACAGTTTTAAGGGTCCGGGGTACTTTTAAATCTGAAAGATCTGTCTTATAATTCTTGTTTTTACACACAGACACACATGTTAGAAAACGATGAAAGTAGAAACTGTGAGTTTGTTTCAAGTATTGATTGATTGATTGTATGTTGTTTTACGTCCCATTCGAGAATTTTTCACTCATATAGAGACGTCACCATATACCGGTGAAGGACTTCAAATTTTGAACTTTACTCGGCACTCAGGGCCATTGAGCAGTGAGGGATCTTTATCGTGCCAACGCCGTGACACGGGGCCTCGGTTTTTAAGGTCTCATCCGAAGGACCCGCAACTTTCACTTCAAAGTGCCGAGCGCCTGACGAAGGATCAGTTGCTTCCCATTTTTATCGACTTAGGTCAGTCGCGGCCGAGATTCGAACTCACGACCTCCCGATCACGGAGCGAGCGCTCTACCGACTGAGCTACCGTGAACGGTTTGTTTCAAGTATGTTTCCGAATTAAAACTGTTAGATTTTTCATGATAATCCAACGACATTTTGTTTTGTAGTATTTGATGACTTTACTTCTACTTGGTTTTAGTTATTTGGAAGCTATATGAAAACAACTCGGAAATGATATGGAAATCTTAAGAATGCAATGTAGCAGTCCTGATAATTGGGTAAGCATTTGAACGTTCTTTTAATATTCAAAATAATGGTTCAGTTATTAAAAAATCAAGATTTTCTTTTTCATTCATTTGGAATGCAACTTGGAATTGCATCAGGGTAGGACAACTACGCTTTTGAAAATTTATATACTATCTAGATTTTGCAAATATGTCCAGTTAGATATAAATGCATCTTCGCAAGTCAAGAGTTTTCTGTCCGCTTTGACCACTGGAACGAAGCGTGTGGTGGAACGAAATCTGACCAAAAATTCTTGGCTTGCAAAGATGATATAAATATTACAGAAACAATTCAACAGCAGTTGTAGATCAGGAAAAATGTTAAATATCTACTTCGATTAAATCAGAAAAAAATTTGATAACTCTGATTAAAAAAAGAGAAATATCTATTGTTTTAAGCATTTTTTATAGTACAATCACTGTCACGGTAGCTCAGTCCGTACATGTAGAGTGCTCGCTCCGTGATCGGAAGGTTCTGTGTTCAAATCACGGCCGCTACTGACTTAAGTCGACAAAAATAGGTAGCAACTGTTACCTCGCCAGGCGCTCGGCACTCTGAAGTGAAAGTAGCGGGTCTTTCGGATGAGACCTTAAAAACCGAGACCCTTTGTCACGGTAGGCGTTGGCACGATAAAGACTACTCACTGTTCAATGTCGCTGAGTACCGAGTAAAGTTCTAAATTTGAAGCCCTTCACCGGTATGTGGTGACGTCTCTATATGAGTGAAAATTTCTGGAACGGGGCGTTAAACAACATTCAATCAATCATTATAGTACAATCAATATGTCATTTCAATGTTTCAAGAGAAAGGGACAATTATATTTTGCAGGTAAATCTGGCTTATCGCAAAATATCATTGTAATTGTGTAAAACATAGATGTATACCTTACCTTTCATTATTCATCAGTTTGATGAACCTGAGTCAGGTGACCTTTTGCTGTTTTTTGAACGTCGTTGTTCGTCGTTCGTTAACATTTGAACATTTTTAACTTCTCTGGAACCGCTGGACCAATTTCAACCAATTCTGGCAGATAGTACATGTATCTATAGATAAAGGGAAACAATTGTTGTGAATTTCATATTCCCCGTCACCCTGGGGCTTCAGGAGTTTGGCTAAAAACCATAAAAATTAGCCTTTAAAAATCTTCTTCTTTACTCCTGGATATCAATAGACAAACTGTTGGCATGATTGTAATAAACATTGAGCTCTCTATTAAAATAGTGAAATTCATGGCCCCAGGGTCGGGGTTCTCTTGCTAGGGCGCAGCTATATTGATTATGTAATGAAAACGCATTAATGCTTTGAAAATCTTCAACTAAGTGCATAATTTTGATGAATGAGCAAGTGTTCCTCTTACAAAATATTGATTCTCGTGGCTCCTTGGTCATGAATTTATAGTGTTAGGGTGGGGCTGTGTTGAATCTGTAGTGAAAATACATTCTTTCTTTGTAAATCTTCCTCTCTTCTGCACGACATCCAGGTGCAAAAAGAGTACAAAGTTGTAATAATCAAGGGGTTCTTTTACCAAATTTTAAAATTCTGGACCACTTGGTCAGGTATTTCTGTGCTAGACAGACTCTAGTCATTTGTATTCTACTGAGAGCTGTTATTCCTCTTTTAATTATAATTAATCACTGAAAATTATGCGATTGAAAGGACGATTGATTAAGACAGTTATACATAATTTTTTTTATATATATAATACTGTGATTGTGACAAATTGGGGCAAGCACAGGTATGTAAATAGAACTACTTTAAATTTTCTTATTGAATACTGGACTAATTATTTTGTTGATCCCTGGTCATTGTATTTCTCTTGCTTTTGGGCATAATACAGTGTAGCTTGATTTATCAGTTTAATTTGAATTATTTTTTTTTTAATGTAGGGTTGTATTATACTCAAGTGACCGTTTTCATTCGCACATAGGTGCTTTTGATCACAGGATTTTTGTTTACTGTACATGTAATTTAAGAAGGAAGACATTTTTATGATCTTTTTTTAAGATCTTTACCTGATCAATACAGCGGGCTCACGTGAATATGGGATGTTTCCTTTCTGTTGGACACCTGTTTCCACCTCTGGTTTTTCCTTGGATCCGTGTTTTGCCCTGTTTATGATTCATATTCTTTCACGGATTATGATATTTTGATGTTCATACGTTTAGTGATGTCAAGATTTTTTTATGTCACCAATTTTCACACACAGATAAGTCAAAATTGATACAAATTATTATTTTAAAAGATCTAAATCTAAGTCACATTCGATTGGTAAACTCAAGGATTCTTGTTTCAAGTTTTCTCCAAATACGTTGTATTTCCACTATGGAAGAGTTATACTTCTTAGTGCGCTCTTTTGTGAAAAAGTCGGAAAATGTACAAATCTCGCGGGATTACTGGGACAAACATAACATAAAAATGTAAACAATATGTTGAATGTCGATGAACGTAAGAAAATGCAAATGAAATATTTTATTGTTGTGGACTTTATATACATCAAGAGTAGGAATGACAACGATATCAATTTATATCTATAATTGTTGATCGTATGTATCTATTTATCGTCTGGTACATCTAAATACAATATACATGCCTCGGAAATGTCGTATTTTTTATTAATGGATGATAAATTTAGGGTTCTCGCTCTCTTACATATGTCTTTTGGTTCTTCTACTCTTAATTAGAATCACAAATACATTTAACATTTAAAATTGGATTGAGATTGGCATGTTTTGTATTATCCGCAACGCCATGCTGTCCCAGTCAGACGACCAAACGCGCCTCTAATTTTGAAGAGTTCACTAATGGAAATAAAACGTATTGACCAAGTGGCTATTGATAAGAAGATAAAGATATGTGAGAAGATTTTAATACTCCTACAACAGCGAAAAACATACGGACAAATTTCTATCAGTAAAACTCACTTAAAGCTTCTTACTCAAAATGTCTGACACTCCTTGAGATTTGTAAATTTCTTACAGGAATTTTACCGGAATTTTTTTTTTTTTTTTTTTTTTTTTTTTTTTTTTTTTGATCCTGGTTTCATTCTCTAGGGACGGTAATTATGAAGGTATCGGTCTTTTATATATTTAGAAAAAACACACACAGAAGTTGATATATTTCCTCCCTGTAATTATTTTTAAATGGAAAAATTCTTATGTTTTAAATATTTGTCTATCATTCTTCCAATTTTTGCATTTGACATCTGATGCTCTGCAAAGAAAAAAATCACAACTAGAAAAGGGAGACACCTGCATATAGAAAGCAATTTGAAAGAGACGATTTTTTTTTCTTTATTTTTTTTTTAAGATGTACAATATATTGGAGTTTTAGAGTCAAACATAAGTTTTATCAATATTGCTTTTTCATTAGCTGTTTTTTAGTTTATTTTTCTCTTTTTTAACATAAAGGTGTTAGTGTAAATAGATCAACTGAAAAAAAATAACCATTCATGATTTTTCACATCTTTTAAACCCCATATTCAGTAAAATTATAATTACTGCAACATGAATAGATAATCAATATGCAATTGCAGTCGAGTACATATTAAATGTCAACACATTTTAAGGAGGGCAAACTTGTGCTTTTGATGAAGATTTGGATTCTGAGAAAATGTGGAAATTACATCTTTCCATTATAAAATGAAACTTAGAGGGCGTCAGAAATGCATGTATCTCCTGTCTGAACTTTTCTGATTTCAAATACTATACTATAGTAATTAAGTGCAATTCACTTTTTAGGTAATCCTGTAGACTCCTATCACGAATGAGCATCATTCTAAAAAAAAATGTATGTGTGTAAATTTGTGTGTGTGTGTGGGGGGGGGGGGGAGGGGGGAGGGGGGTTTAGATGAATGAAATTGGAGCAGGCACCTACTGCCCTACTGTAGTGCGCAATATTAAATCTGTCATGCCTGTCATGAAATCATAAATACATGTAAATGCCAATGGCTTTGGAAAATTTAAGTTAATAGAAAAACTATATACATGTAATGAGATGATTTACAAGTCTTAAGATTTCACCCATAAGTCATTTATGGATTTGTTCAGAATATGGCGGCCAGATTTCCTTTGGAATACAAGGGTTCTCCATCATTTCAGAATTAACTGTGGCGCAAGACTTACGCGAAGTGCTAATATTCGCGGGCATTTCGCGACCGAATTTACGAAGGAACCACGAAATAAACTGAAAAACACGCTCCCCTATTAATCAATAGTTTAATACACAAACAGCAATTATGATTATAATTAAATTTATGTATTAAATGCGTTGTATTTACTATTTACATGTGTGTAATTGTTTATTTAATAGATATAGCATGCTGGGGATTCACGCCGGTGGACTGCAAAATTTCCAGCCAATGATTAACGAGCTAGGGTCACGTGGTCAGCTGAGCTGATCAGATGTATTTTGATACCCGCACGCTGACCACAGTTATTTTGAAACACGTATATTTCAAAGAAATTGGAAGCTGACGCTTAAAGAAAGCCAAGAAGTTGTGCTTTCTAAGTTACGTTATTTGAAAATGATTATTCTTTTAGTCGGCTTATAGTCTGGTAGTGCGGGGGTATCGTTTAAGTAGCCGTACAAAGAGTTTTTTTTAAGTGTGAAGTTGATAAGTATGGCTTCTGGACTGAATGTTTGTATCATTGGACATTCTTACATCCGTAGATTGGAGGAATATTGTTCTAGTTTGGGTATAATTAATTTGAAGTTGGATGACAGTTTTAATGTTAATTTCCGTGGGAAAGGAGGTCTTTGTTTACGCCACCTTAATGTGTCTCAAGGGCTCGGTGCTAGAAGGGAACTTTTTCATTTTATTTCGCCGCCAGATATTATTTTCCTACAGGTCGGGGAAAATGATATAAGTGATCTGACTTGTTGTGAAAAGTTAGCCGGAGACCTCATATCTGTGGCAGCATCATTGCGGGATGGCGTCGGTGTAAAAATAGTGATGATTAGACAGTTGATACGACGATTGCCTTTCGCAGCCTGCAAAAGCTTTAATGACAAAGTAGTAAAGACAAATACGCAGCTGGAGATCAGGACCCAGTCTTTGCCGTGGATTCATTTTTGGTGCCAAATGGGTTTCTGGCATGACTTGAGCTATCTGGGTCCAGATGGCGTACATCTATGCTGCACCCCCTCCCACGACCAGCCCATGTGGAAGTTCCTTCGAAGTATAAGGAATGCAGTGATTCAGTCGCCTAACTTATTAAGGCCAGTATAACATTGTCTCATTATACCTGTATTGCACAGAGGGGTGTTTATGTTTATGGTAGGCTATACAAGATTTAGGTCGTAAAGATAAAGTTAGATACTCTGTCAGACAATGTCGTTAATTAAACGCAAGTAGATGACTGACTTGCGGTTAGGCATTTAAATATGTTCCAAATAATCATAATTACACAGGCACGTTTGGTTAGCTTGTTTCTGTGAATACATAATTTATTAAGCAGATTTTGCCCTATTTGTTCTGTTATTCAAACTCGATGGCTTTATTAAGGACCGGGTTGCTCATAATGACAATGGTTTCCGTCTTATGTAGGACATGGTTACGGATTAATCAAAGTTTCCCATATTGTTTATTCTTCGGTGCAAAATATGTAGGAAACTATAGTATAGAGTCTATATTTTTTCATCTGTTTGATTAAGATTGGTACAGAGTTTTAGGCCATATGTACTTATCATGTGGAAGTAGAGGTACAAAGTTTATGAACCTACCCACGTTGTTTAACAATGGTACAGAATTTGGGCCTTATATTTACTTATTGTGTGGGAGTTTGGGCACAAAGTAGATCTGTGCCTACCCACGTTGTTTACATGTAACAATAGTACAAAGTTTATTAGGCCGTATATATGTACTTATTGTGTGGGAGTCTAGGTACAAAATATACCTGTACCTACCCACGTTGTTTAGCAATAGTACAGAGTTTAGGCCGTATATATGAACTTATTGTGTGGGAGTTTTGGTACAAAGTATACCTGTACCCGCCCACGTTCTTTAGCAATAGTACAGAGTAGGCCGTATATATGTACTTATTGTGTGGGAGTTTGGGTACAAAGTATACCTGTACCCGCCCACGTTCTTTAGCAATAGTACAGAGTAGGCCGTATATATGTACTTATTGTGTGGGAGTTTGGGTACAAAGTATACCTGTACCCACCCTCGTCGTATAACAATAGTACAGAGTTAGGCCATATATATGTACTTATTGTGTGGGAGTCTAAGTACAAAGTACATCTGTACCTACCCACGTTCTTTAGCAATAGTACAGAGTAGGCCGTATATATGTGCTTGTTGTGTGGGAGTTTTGGTTCAGAGTTTTTATGTACCTTTCCACATATTAAATAATAGTACAGAGGTTAGTTTTTATATGTACTAGTCGCATTTGGAATTGGAAAAAGTGGTTTTCGTTATCAAGTTTATTAAGAATGTTGATATGGATGGAATTTACCTATAGATCAATTGAGATAATAGGTTATGTATTATCGTATTAATGTTAATGATTGTGTTGAGAAAGTTTTTTAATTCCTACCCAGTGTTAGTTTTATCAAAGTCTAATATATTCGCACATATCGTAAGGTGACAAGATATATAAAAGCGAATGTTGGGTATTTCTTTTAATGATTTGTCATTCATATAACCAGGTAAATATTATAAGGTGCGGTTACCAATTTGGCATGTTTTACACGGTTTTGGTATGTTTCAGTAACAATGACTCCTAACAAGCTGGAAAAACACCGAGGAAAAGGAGGAGGATTCATTCCCCGGGGATCACAGTGGTAGAACCAACTACATCTGTACCAACCCTGCCTCAGAATAACGGCACAGGAGAACCATTTGATGGAGCTCAAGGAGCCACTCATCAAACTACAAGTCTTGAACTTCGGCCTGCTGTCACTCAAGTGTCAAATCAAGTCTCGATTGACTATGCTGAGCTGGCGAAACTAATACTGGTACAACAACAGAATTTAGGTACGCACACAGCGTCCCAACCTCTAACTCTGAATCAAGCTACAACAGCGTTGCCCCTGTCTCTTGCAGATCTGAACTCAACTACTTGTTCCATTTTGGCTGCGTCGCTCTCGGGAGCTTCACGTGCTGCATACAGACAGTCGTGGAACTTATTTCAAACTATGACTAAAGGTCCTAGCTCTCTTCCATTGAGTCTACAAAATGTTTGTAATTTTATCGGTTATCTATTCGATAAGCAGTACAGTGCCAGTAGCATTGCATAACATGTGTCTGCACTGAGTTACCTGCATAAACTTCTGAACCTCCCTGACCCAACTCAAACCTTTATTGTAAAGAAATTACTTAAAGGGTGTAGTAGGTTGTTACCTTCACAGGATACTAGGTTACTTATCACTAAGGAGATCCTGCACAAACTTATCAAGGCAACTAAAATGACAGTATCTCAGCCACTGAATCAATTGTTGTTAAAAGTATTGTATCTCCTTTGTTTTAATGCATTCCTACGGTTAGGAGAGGTTGTTGTAAAGTCAGTAGCAGACAGAGGTCGGGTTTTGCAAGTACAAGATGTCACATTCCATGGTGATGGGTACCTGCCACACAGTGTTCAAATTGTCATTCGTCACCACAAAACACAAAAGAAAAATGATCCTATGATTATCTTTATTCAGGGAAGTTCGGGAAGTGCATTCTGTCCTGTCCAAGTCCTGCATGAGTATTGTACAAAATCACCTCACTCAGCAGGTCCATTTTTTCAATTTGTAGACGGCACCCCGGTCACTTACTCGTTTGTTAGCTCTCAGCTTTCAAAAGCCATATCCTTTGCAGGATTTGACCCCAAGTGTTTTAAAGGTCAAAGTTTTCGTATAGATGCGGCCACTCATGCTGCGCAAATAGGATATTCAGAAAGTTGTATTCAACATTTGGGACGTTGGAATTCAGAAGGATAAAATCATTTCAATTTTAATAGGGTATAAGATAAAATACCAAATATTATCTATATATAGAGCTGCAGTTGGCATTGAGCAGTTGGCAGTCGTATATGGAACTCCAAACTTATGTACTTATTTCTATTTTTTTCCGCGAAATGATAGGGATGTACAGCTGCTTAATTCCTTTTAATTAAAAAATAAATCACTATAAGCTAATCATGACTTCTCATGCATTTACGACGAGCGGAAAAACAACCTCGAATGTTTTATATATGCAACCATGAAAACCCTCCTTTTTATCAACATTGAAATAAATACTGGGAGACCTCTTTGGATATTTGGAGCTTAACTTCATTGAATGTGAATATATTACCTTAAAATGCTCTGGAGGTGGCATTTAACTCTGTTCGTATAATACTTTATACTCCATATTGTATTAAATTTTAACATCAGGTTTTGTAAATACATTCGAGGTAGGTGTTTTTCCGAACTTGCCGGAAACGACCAAAAAGATGCGATCTCACCCTATCCTTACGCCCAGTGAATGGGGTTGCTTTAAAACCAAACGATTTATAAAATTGTTTAGACATAGGCTTCTCATACCTCAATACGTATACGGACAGAGATACTTATACGGATATATCAGATAGAACATTCTCTAATATTGCTCTTTCAATACGATGATTTAGCCACCTGAAAAAATTCAATATTCATCGAGCCCGAAGGGCGAGGTGAATATTGTACTTTGGAGGTGCCTAAATCATTATATTGTCTAAAAAAACAGCAATAATTGTTTTATTATATGATTCAATGAATAAATGACACTAACTCGTTAAGCAATACAATACATCTTACTTGATTACATTGGCTTAACCAAACGCAATGAGAGAAGTGGAAGTTAAAAAATAAAAAATAAAAAGTTAGGCAAGTGGGATCGATTTTGAAAGTGGAGAGGTGGCATTAACATAAAAAAAACAACTTACCTAAAAAAAAAAATAATTTCAATATATTTATTATACATACAATCATTTGTATATTTTTATTTGATTGATACATCTACTCAAAATCACTTCTTAAATGCATCACCATTTGAAGAAATCAAATTCATTATATTATATTCTTTGTCCTAAAATACTAGTATGGAATAAAAAAAAAAACACTAATAAAAAATCCTCTCTTATAATGAAAATCAAAAATAACATAATTAATTATGTTATCTAAATAAGCATCATGGAAAGACTTCTACAGAGTTACATCTATTTATTCATTTCTTTTGTTTGTGTTTTATTACTATGAAAAAAGCACATCAAAATCTTCTTTACAATACAGAATCTTGAACCTCAATGCAGATAATTTCATTAAATAGAATGCTGATGTCATTTCGACAGTACTGATACATCAAAACATTTTAATCTAAAATAATCAATGGATGCAGTTTTAAGTATACTTTTAATTATCTCTAATTATACAAAATTATACAAAATAAATCCAAAGAGAAAGTTTAACAAACATATGCAGAAAAAAAAAATATCTCAGCTTGTTCTTTAAAATAAAATATCCGAAAAAATATCATAATGTACAAAATGATATTTACTCAATCATTAATCAACAATGTGATAAAATGCGTTATTTTTGGCCGAAACTGAGAAACAGTGTATCTACACAATGAATAAATAAAAGATGTTATCAGAAATTAGTTTTTGATGTGTTGCTTAATTTTTGCGCTGAAGAAAAGTATGACAATCAGCAAGGAAAAGTAATGCAGCAACCAGACACAATATGGCGACACCAACACTTCCGATTGTTAGGGAACTAGGGCGAGGATCATAGGCACATCTCAAGCTTCTGTCGTAAGAACTTGTGTTTCTTTTTGAAATTTTCAAATTGCAAATAATTTCTTCTCTTGAGCTTACACTGGTGTTTCCGACTGATATTCTCGACGCTTAAAAAGACATAATTCTTTATTTAATTACATGTATATGTTTATTACTTTGACATCTTTCATAAATCGATTTTTCAATTGATAATCATAAACTATAGGAAATTAAAAATGCCCAATATGCTCAAATTATTCATTTAAAATCTTAGGAACTAAATCAAAAGCAAAATATTTTGCAAATTTACAAGAAATAAAAAAAAGAGGTACTGTGAGCACAGAACTCACAAATGATACCCCGTTCAAAAGAATGCGTTGAGCTTGTATTAATATTTGAGCATAATACAGTACCTTCAACTGGTCAATGGTCTAATTCAGATCATAATTTTTATGCCCCCGTAATCAAAGATTCGGGGGTATATAGTTTTTGCCCTTTCTGTCCGTCTGTCTGTCTAGCTGTCTGTCTGTTTGTCTGTTAATCTGTTTGTCTGTTTTTCCGCAAAAACTTTAACCTTGCCCATGACTTTTGATTGGTTGAGGCTATGGCTTATATATATGCAAGTTTAATGCTTGTGACAAGACCTTTCTTTGATTACCATCATATTTGACCTTTTGACCTTGACTTTGGAGTCTGATCCAATTTTGCAAAATTTTACCCAACTTTAACCTTGGCCATAACTTTTAAACAGTTAAAGCTAGGGCTTTCATTCTTCACATATGTAATTCTTGTGACAAGACCTTCCATTGGATACCAACAACTTTGACCCTTTGACCTTGACCTTGGAGTTTGACCTACTTTAAAAAACTTTAACCTTGGCCATAACTTTGAACGGTTAGGGCTACGGCTTTCATACTTCACATACGTAATTCTTTTGACAATACCTTCCTTTAGATACCAACAACTTTGACCCTTTGACCTTTACCTTGGAGTTTGACCTACTTTAAAAAACTTTAACCTTGGCCATAACTTTTGAACGGTTAAGGCTACGGCTTTCATATTTCACATACGTAATTCTTTTGACAATACCTTCCTTTAGATACCAACAAATTTGACCCTTTGACCTTTACCTTGGAGTTTGACCTACTTTAAAAAACTTTAACCTTGGCCATAACTTTTGAATGGTTAAAGATATGGCTTTCATACTTCACATATGTTATCCTTGTGACAAGACCAACAACTTTGACCATTTCACCTTGACCTTGGAGTTTGACCTTCTTTTCAAAAAAAAAAAAAACAACTTTTGAACAGGTGGTGCTAGGGCTTTCATATTTGACAAGGGTATTTCTTTTGAGAAGACCTTACCTTGGGTACAACATATTTGATTTTCATTTGAGAAAGTTTAACCTTCACTTTAAGTTGCCATACAGGGGCATCAGCGTTTCACAAACACATCTTGTTTTTGAATAAGTTTCGCTACATATGAGTAACTTCACTCCCTTGGAATTAAAGTATAGTTAATTTGTATACATCAATGACATGCTTTTATTTTTCCAATTAATATTACGACGAAAAGTAAACAAAATATATGTAATGTTTCCATCTACGTTGTCTGTTTATTTTTCCGTTTGTCTGTTTGTGTGTCTATTTGCAAGACAATTAAACAATATTAACTGATTTTAATGGTTATAAGGGGTCTTAATGTTACAAATGGACGACATTTTAAGGTTTTAGTGTATTCAGGCCAAAGACCGATCGTGTAACCTTTTTGTTATTTTCAACAACTGTTCAGTTTCAATTTAATTGATTTCGATATGCTCCTTGACCATATGTTTCCAGTTTAACGTTCGAATTATTTGAAACACATCATTAATTTGAGAATAATACGACGTTGAATAGAAAGAAAAAATACAAGTCTTCGAAGATTCAGGGGTGTATAGTTTTTGCCCTGTCCGTCCAACTGTATGTCTGTATTTCTGTTTGACATGTCTGTTTGTCCGCAAAAACTTTGATCTTGCCCATAACATTTGATTGGATAAAGCTATGGCTATCATATTTCACATGAGTTTTCCTTGTGACAAGACCTTTCTTTGGGTAATAACATAATTGACCCGTAGACTTGGACCTTAGAGCTTGACCAACTTTTGCAAACTATAACCTTTGCCAAAACTTTTGAACAGTTTGGTGCTAGGGTTTTCATATTTCACTTTTGTATTTATCGTGACAAGGCCTTTCCATGGGTGTAAATATTTCTGACCTTTTGACCATGACTTTAGACCCACTTTTTAACAACTTTCAAAACACATCCTGTTTTGTTTTGTTTTGTTTTTGTTTTAATCAACCTCCGATCATTCAACTGTAACGTAATTTTTGTACTGTATCCAGAGTTGTCAAAATACCATGTGCATGTAATTTGAAATGTCAATACTATTACTGCGCATACAGAGTAATTAATTATATAAAATTAATTTGCCAAATAACGTAAATTAAACTTCCAAGAGTACGCAAACCAGCTGGATGTGCATAAGTGTGAACTATTATTATTTGAAATTACTTTGGTTGTAAACATCCAAATTAAAAATGTGAAACTGTAAATAAATAAGGTTTAGTGGTTTAGTTCTGCTAGATGCGTCTTTTTTTCTTTTCCTTTGTTAATTTATTCCTTTGAAACGTTTTCTTTCTTTTTTTTAGGAAAATACGAAATCCAGTAAAATTTAACCTATTTCATTGTGCATATCGTTGATTATTTTTTTGGATAAATTAAGCCTCTTAAGTTGGGGGTGGGGGATTTTAAAACAACTTCTGCTAAATGATTTTTTAAAAGTAGGTTTCACATATTTTTAAATAACAATTCACCTTTGCATTCCAGCTTAGTTGTGGTCCAACCAGTTCCATAATATAAAATAATGTTTCCTCCCATGTCTGGGTAAAATCCTACTCGACATGCATACTGAGCAATGTTACCACTCACCAAATGATCTGCATTAGCAATGGTTGGAGGGTTTGGTACTGTAGCTGAAAAAAAAAGTTGATTGTGCTAAAACAGCTTGACTGTAAATTTTGGAATATCTATATATTAACTTTGAAAAATCGAAATGAACATTCTTCAACTTCAAAAACATTGCTTACAATGTAGCTGCAGAACTGTAGCTCTCTCCGAAGAAAAAAATATTCCAAACTTTCTCAGACCAGCGAGCTACAGATTTGCAGCTTCTTACAATAATGTACTGAATATATTTGAAACATAATGAAAACAAGAAATAATATTGTCTTTCCTCCGAATCCATTACAAGGGCGGCCATTGTGGGAGTTTTATTCACACACTTCGTAATTATTATTATTATTATTATTGTAAAGTTTCGTTAAACATTTTCTTTGGCAACCGCTGCCATTTTGAATCTTGTATGTACAACTACACTTTTGGTAATTATTACTGTGACGTTTATTTAGAAAGTCCTTGTCACCTTCAAAACTCCTTCAGACAAATGTAGTGGAAATTCATAACAATAGAAAAAAAACAAATGAAAAGAAGAAATATAAAAAAAATATATATGAAATGAACCAAAATTTATTTTTAAAAAAAATGAAAACTGATTTACGGAAACTTGGAAAATGAAAGATAGATTGTTAGACGTTTTCAACTTTTCCTCTTAATAAAAAAGTGTATATTTCTATTAATGCTGAATAGAATAGTGTTTTATTTTTACTTTTAGATATAGTTTTATAAAATTAACTTACTAAAAAGCGAACATGTAAGATGAGTTTCTAGCCAGTGTGTTCCGTTACATGACGAGACGCTCAGTCCACCATTACTCACGAATCCCGCCAAACAAGAGTAAGATGTCAGACTTCCTCTGCCTAATCCATTATTCACCTTTACAGTGTTTAAAATATCAGGTGGCGGTGCACATTCTAGAGATAATTCAAATGATATTCATCAATGATTAAATTCAAATATGAAATTTCATGCAGTAATTAAAGTAATAATGAAAGAATCAGAATTAATTACATTATAGTTCAAACTACTTCCATTTTACGAATTAATATCTAATTCCCTGTCTTTTAGATTTCATTAAAAAAGAGTCCTCATCTATTTGTATTTGTATATTTGATATACATGTATATTGTTTAACAAAGAAATTAGTGTAATGGTTTTCTTTTCTTATTTATAAGTTAGAATGTATTTTTGATAGACGATTATGGCCAACTAAGAACTAAACTGTACGACAAACAGGAAGACTTCAGCTTTTCCATCGTCAACTTCAGTTATTTAATATGTGGTAATATAAGAACATCACCTGCATATGGCGGATATGTCTCCCAACTGATTCAATACGCGGAAGCATATTATGTATAAGCTCAATTTTTTAAACCTAGGGTAGCTTCTGACAAATAATTTGATATGGTATAACGGATATTTTCTGCGGTTGTCCAATTTTTGCGGAATTTTGCGGATAGGTTAAATCCGCAAAAATTGCAATCGCAAAATATTTTTAATATTTATACAGATATTTTATTCATGCATTTATGATAAGTGGTATGTATGTCACAGGGTTCTCGTTAACGCAAGAACCTGCCTACTGGACTCAGCAAAATTATTGGGGACGCAAGGGCGTCCGCAGACTCATGAGTGGACATGTCCTTGTTAGCGAGAAAATTCGGGTGTCATCGAAATTTGAAGATTTTAGAAGTCAGGATTTGTACAAAATATATTGAAACAAACCTTCCTGTAAATAATAAGTATTTAATAAGTTTATACAAAATAACATCTTTTCTTGTACCTATTTCTTAATTTTAAATACGGATATGAATGATTAAAAGAGATTTCGCGATTATTAGTCCAAACTCCGATAGCTGCAAACAATACATGGTAGCTTTTCTTTGTTCCTTTCTTATTTAAACACTTTTTCAATCTTGTGTTTTATCTTGAGAACATAATTACTGCTTGTATATATATGTGGCTTGATTGCCTCGTGAATTTCAACCAATGCGGACGACTGACAGGATTAGTTACGCATAAATGCACATGGCACCTGTGATTTTAGGATACTTGATTATGCAACTGATTTTGTGAGCCTTAAATACAAACACCAAGTTATTATCAATTCCAGTGAAGTGTGCCGTTTCGCATTACGTCACGATCTTTTTCGATAGATGCGCCCAGCGTAAACAATTCACAACGCCGCTGTCTGATTGGTCAACTCATTTTATCAACATTGACACGGAAATAGTCTGTTGCACGAGCAACCAATCAAGGATAAGAAGAAACTACCAGTCATAAAGTTTGCGGTTAGGAGGCGTGTATTATATACCTTGATCACAGCTGTCATCATAGGTTGTGACGTAATGCAAAACGGCACACTTAACTGGAATTAATAATATTTTTGATGGCAAATTATTATAATTGTATTTTAGAATATGGCTTGGGTGCATTAATTATCATTATCTATATAAATATTTTAATAGATCGCATAAAATAAACGTCTGTTTGAATAAAGATTTTTATTGTTGTTCATGTTGTTTGGGTGTACTGATACTGCAGTAATGTAATTCATTTCAATTGGGACTCGACAAAATTTTACGAACTAACAAAAAGAAAGTAGTTTAATTTAGCTTAATACATGTACCAGTTAACATGCACCTTTGATCAATATGTCTTAATAAAAATTTATAAAACGTAAACATGGCAATGTTTTGATAATTCTTGGAGTTTAGTGAACATACCCCGTAAATAATTTTTGCGATGTAGTGCAACCACAGAAATTGAAAACGCCGAAATTAACTTGCTTCTTTAAAAGGGGTAAACCGTAAAATTTTCCAACCGCAGAAAATACCCGTTATAGGGTATTACAAGGATTTCAACAACTTCGTTTAACGTCAACTTTTTGCAAATTCTACGGTCGATTTGGTGACCTCGTTTGCAATAAAACATATAATTTATTTGGCTTGTATTTTGTCTGACATTCCATACCAAGTGAAGTACATAGAAGTGCCAAATTTCAGGGGGATGTTAATTCCTTGGGATATATATGCGGATGTGGAGGCAGTACCTCTCCACAAAACGCTTTGAGTGATACCTGAAATATCAGTATTGATGATCTTAACTGTTATTTGCACTCTGTCTTCCTGCAGCTTGTCACTTCCGTCTCCCCAAACGCCATCAATGTAGATTAAGTGACTATTTATACTAGTTGGTGTCCATATCAGTATTTCAGACTCTGTGTATCCATAAACAATTCCTCCAAGGCTTTCTGATGGATTGCCAACACTTGCAGATCCAGCTCCATAAAACATCCTACCATTAGTTACTGACAAACTTTTAACCTGTTATGGAAATTTGAATACCGGTATCAATTGAAGTTAGATGTTTTGCTAATATTATTTCGTGTATTTCGATTTCATTATATATATTTATCTCAAATACCTGAGGAAATCTTTGGTGGAAGGAAACATCAAATTCAAACAAAGTGTGTATACTTTTCAACAAAGTAAAGAGAAAAATGTAATTTATCTCTTGAAAAAATGTGACATTTCACAAATGATATTTTCACAGTGGAAATATAAAGATTGGGATTAAGACTCCCGATTTTCCTTTCCTTCAAGAAAAGCGTTATGAATTAAATACTATTACTAAAATATACTATTACTGATAGAAAGCGAAAGCAAATAAACCACCCTGACACAGACTCAAATGGATTACTTGAGCTTCTCCAAATTGTTGTTAAAGATTCATGTTTACAATTCTCAGTCTCAAACACTAAGAGCTTTAACGTCTTTCAATCGTTCAGATATGACGTCACAGAAAACGTTATGAAAGGAAAATCAAAGGAAATTCAACGTTTTGTAGTTCGGTCTGAAATTTATTTCGGACGTTCACACATTAAAATATAATTAAAGAAAACCTGCCCACTCTTGAAATAAATTCCATAAAAATGCTGAAAATCCTCCATAAATGTTTAATAACCATTTAGAGGTCGCTAAACATTACATATTAAAACATAATTTAAAAAAAAAATCAATCAAAACCTCAAATTGAAGTGTGGACAATATATCGTAATCATATTTAAGTATAGACACAAAGATTAAAATTTGTTTTAATTAAGTGTGATAAAATTTGGATCCAAAAATAAAAATTAAATGCTATCTGTATATACCGTATTAACTCGCCTATAACTCGGTTTTTTGATCCAAAACTCTCTGTCCGACTTATAGACGAGTCATAGAAAGATTAGTATTTTTCTGGACGACGAAATATATTATTTAATAAACAATCACGGCGATTATCATTGAACAACGTCTATACATATTATATCCTTTATGTATTATAAGATTATGCATAAAGTACAAGATTTTATAAACTGTAATAGTTTTATTTTTAACTTAAGTGTGCGTTACTTATTTTCTTAATGATCTAAAATTAAATATCGACGTCATTTTTTTCAATGAATTTGAAATTGTCAACCAATTATGGCAAAAAGATGTACCGACTTATAAGCGGGTCAATTGCAAATCCCTCCAAAATTACCGCAAAAATTACAAACGGCATAAAGGATAACCGATTATACCCGAGTATATACAAGCATCATGCGCTAGTGAGCTAAGACTATGGGCATTTCTATGAAAACGACCTGATGAAAAAACATAAGATGCATGAATCTGATGAGGGGAAACATTTCTTTGGGCTATAGAAATTTTCTACGAAAATAACTACAGAAAAGGAACATAACTGTTGTCTTTCTAGCAAACTTCTGTTAAAATCTTGCATTTTTTTCTACTTGGAAGAAAGTGAATTAAACTGTGTAATTAATACTAATTTTTATCTCTCTTTGCCCAGTCATTCTTGAAAGGATTTTTAAAGACGATTTATTATATATATTCATATTTAAAAGTTGATCTACTATCGTGGTCTGATCCTTTTCCCAGAGGCCATGATTGGACCAATTTAAAATATTTATCACGAAGCTTACTTATTCTGGTCAATTAGCATTTAGAACATTTTTAAATTTTTGATTTTTTTCTCTGTGTTCCCATTTTAAGACTGGCTTCCCTAAATTGGTCCAAAGCAACTACAAAAGGTCATGATTTGATCAATTTGAAATTTTCACTTCTGGCCAACATTAAAATAAAGTTTGTTTGCCCTCCCCCTACTCACGATGAAAAAATTGAAAGGCTATTTAGGTGAGAATTTCTTTTTCCTAGAAAATTTCAACATCAATGCTGAATTTTCAAAATCTATTTTCCGAAATGCATAAAAAAATAATTGCCTCCTGGAGTTTAAAAAAAGGTAAAGTCGAGCCATTTTAGCCGGTCGGTCGGGAAAGGGCAACCAGACAATTATTTAAAGATGGCCTCATCAGGACGCTAACATTCCGACCAAGTGGATCTTGATATGAAGTTTTTCAAAAGTTTTTACACTAATATTTTACCATTCAATATTTTTGTCCCCCGCTTTCACTGAAAGTGGGGGATATTAATTTTGGTCTGTATGTCTGTGCGTCTGTTAGTCTGTCTTTCTGTCTGTTTGTAACACTTTCGTTTCCACGTGATATCTCAAGAAGCCTTTGAGCTTTTACAATGAAATTTTACATATTAACAACTTCCCATAGCCTTTGGAAGACCCCTCTTGATTTGTTGTAAAAAGGTCAAAGGGCAAGGTCAAAAATTCTGTCTGTTTTAACACTTTTGTTTCCACACTATATCTCGAGAAGCCTTTGAGTTTTTGCAATGAAATTTTATACCACAAGTTCTTACGGCCTAAGAAAGACCCCTATTAATTTTGAGCTCAAAATGTCAAAGGTCAAAGTCATCAATTTATACATTCTGTTTGTGAGTAAAAATTTTATTTCCGGGAGATATCTCAAGAATCTTTTGAGTTTTTGCAATTAAATTTTATACCATAACTTCTTATGGCCCCGCCCGCCCTTCTTAAAGTGCCCCCTCGACCCCTCTAGATTGCGCATGCTCTTCTTTCCTTAAGCTGGGAACACAGATTCTTTGAATTAGCCTGTTATCCCTATTATGGCCCATCATGTCCCTGAAGGTTATAATTTGAAATCTACACTAAATCAGAAACTTACGTGCAAGTTTTATGTTTACTGATCCAGTGGTTCTTGAGAATACATTCAAACTTTTACCTTTATTAAAGGGATATCCCAAGTAAAACTTTCCTCCCTTACTGTAGCCCCAGCATACGTATCCCTCGGGGCTTGATTTAAACAATTTTGAACTAGGTCAGGAATTTAACACTCAATTTTTAAAATTGTCAAATTATACCTCGATACTGACGAAATGATTATCCAAATCAATTGGATATGGTGCTGGTAGAAGTCCAGAGTGAGGGTCAGCCCAATTGTAAGTAAATGAGTCTACTTCGTCAACATTTGAAAAGCTCCATGCGCGTATGATTACGTCGGCTGATGAATATTGTAAACTTTCACTGCCCCAGCCATCAAAGTAACATGCTACCCAGTCATCTGCGAAGTAAGATGGTCGAATTTACTGTTTGAAAGATAAGTTTTACTTCAAACAGGACATATGAAATCTGGACTTTTTTCGTGCAAGTTATAAGTATAAGTTATAAGTGGTAGGCTACCACTACATATATTGTATGCGATATTGTCAGGTAAGAAATGTTGAGTACCAAAATGTCTTTCTTAAAGAGACTTCAAATGAATAACAATCGTGTCTTCTCTTACAGAAAGACAAAAATATAAATGCCTTTTGAAAAAAATGCATTTTAGTCCATATTTCGGAAAGTAAAATTAAATGAACCTAATATGAAGAATGTTTTGACGGCACAGTCTACACTGAGTGGGGGAGACCTTTCCCCTCACAATGTAAATTAATGTATAAAAAATTTTAAAGTGTATTTAAATGTATTTAAAATTAAAAGACTAGTGTAATCACAGATTTCTGATTGTATGCAGAAATAAGTACACACTTGCTCTCCAATAAACAAGCTATCAAATATATTATGGATAGGAAGAATAACTCAGTTTGATTTCAAAGTACATAAAAAAATTCTCATTCATTTGTAATATTTTATAGCAATTAGTTATTGCATCGTAGAAGAGAAAAGAGATATTGGCAATAGTTAATATTCGATTTATACAATGTGAACATACCATTTTTACTTGGAGCCCAGAGTGTGATTGAGTTTTGACTGACGCCAAAGACGACCCCACAGATATGATTTGTACCTGTATCGTCGGCTGTCACAGGTGTTACACCTGAAATGACAGGGAAAGAAATTAAAATTAAATATTTATCATCCAAACTTAAAAAAAAATACTGTTTTGGTTTTTGTGCATTTTGATATATTTGTTTCGAAAAAAATAATGCATCACTGTTTAAATTTTTGAACATGGAAACTAAGAGTGTACAACGTGCATGCAGAGTTATAGTTTTAAAATAATGGAATATTTAATCTACACATTTCGAACAAAATTTCTTTATATCTTTAGTACTTCAAAAATCACTTCCCGAAGAAATTTAGAGGACGATTCAGGAATTTCATTTGAAAGGAGAGGGGGATTTTCGGAGACCGCTACTCTGGGTGCTTCTAGGAATTATCTAAAGTGACCTTTCATTTGTTTGAAAGACGAAATTTATACTTCATGTAACAGAAAACAATTGTTAACCCTATTGGTGAATTTTAAATATTGTTTTCCATTAATTGAAAATGATTTTTTTTGTTAAAAAAGTACATCATTAAAATCACAAGGATATACTTGACACATGTAGCATACTGTGGGATTATCATTTTTTGTGGGGCACCAATGTTCGATTTCGTGAATTTCGTGGGTCAAACTTATCCATGAATTTACATCCCTACGAACAATTATTTTGTCAAGGTTTTTTATTAATTGATTTATTAATTGATTCATGTTTGTATAAGATACACACGAAATAACGTGCCCTGGAACCAACAAGATTTTGCTTACCCACGAACATTGACCCCCTCGAATCAAAATGATCCCAGTTTTTTTTTTTTTTTTTTTTTTTTTTTTTTTTTTTTTTTTTTTTCATTTTGGTGCTTCGTGGTACATAGACGCGTTTCCCTTGAGTGAAAATGAAGAATTTGAATATTTTCCAGGCCTGACCTTATCAAAGCTGATATTTTTAGATACCAAGTAAACTTTCTGTAAATCTAATAACTGGTTTGCATAAAACTCTCAGGGCAAAACCCTGTAGCTTAACCTTTGAATTGGTAGGGGTTTTTTTTAAGTATAATTATTGTAAAGCATATTTACTTCGTAAAAACTTGATTTTCTCATAATTAATCTAGACTGACT